TACAGGAACTAAACTAGACAATGTAATCAACAACTAAAAGATCAAAAGCCAAAATACATTTGTATGTCTTTTGTAGCACTATCCAGTTTGTTCCTGGAAGACTCGAAATTCAAAACTCGCCAAAAGGAGTCAAAAAGGGCTGGCTCTAGGATGGAACAAGTCATTTTTAACTCAGGTGGTTTAATAGACGTCATTTAAAACGATATTCGATCTGTAAATTTCTATACATTCTATTACAAACTATTGTTAAATCGAACTGCCAGTTTATTTTTTTATGGCTTACCATAAGAAGTCACAAAATAAATCATTTCGTTTACAAGACTAATAATCTGCCGATATAAATCGATACTGATGGCAACCGCACGTCGGCCTATTAATCGTGTCGGACGCGGACGACATATCCAGCGATAACTAGAACCTTCTAAATCTCTACTGATCCCAAGAAGTTCGCGTATCTGTATTTCTGTGAGGTATCAATTGATGGAGCTATGTCACAAATTTCTATGTCATCAGGTTCACTGTCAAAATCTACTGTCTTGCACCTATGTTCTGGATGATTGCTTTGTCTGCTCGTGTATCAGGAAGGAGGAGATACGAAGAGAAAACTCTCTTTAACTTCTCTTGGTCTACAAAGAGCCCGCGATATAATTGTCTGGCAATGGCATTTCTAAGAGCATGCGATACATCGTGACAAACACGTGTTTTCCACATAAAAATGATCGACACACCCACCAGCAACCCGAAATTAGTTCGCATTCACTTGTTTCTTCCATCCGGCGCTGGTGACGCTAAGTCACTTAACTAACATAAACATATATCACAGGGCAGTTTGCCACATATCAGGCCGCTTTTGTCTTATATTTTATAAGGGATCACCATGAAAAAGCTTCTGTTACGTGTGAAATAAAACCGATTATTAGATTTCACGAGCAATGAAAGTTACATTTCTGGCCCGGGTTGTTTAAACGCTGGATAGCGCTACCCATTTAATAGTCCTCTATTTAGCGGATACGTGTTAGGGAAACCAACTGCGCCACGGCTTCGTCCGTCCTGTGGATAGACATTTATCCTGTGGATACGGCGTTATTCACCTTTTGGAAAACTGAGGCCTGGTCTAGTTTTAACGGCCACGCTGAACGGCAAAAAATCAACACTGCTCGGCCAGATCAAACGTCACTAAAGAATTCAAAATCATTATGGAGGGATTTTTCGGTCCTTACATCTAAGCTCTTTTTGTAAATCATGCGTTGTTGTGAAAATAGATTAGAATTTCATCATCATCATCATTATTATTATAATTTTATTCTCGTCATTTATGAAGTTATTCATCTGCATTATCTCGACTAATTTCGCCCCTCAGCCGGTGGGGTAGGAACAAGGTCTCAAACGACGTACGTAATCATGATCCCTGGAGCACTCCAATCCCATAGTCTACGTCGTTTCCAGTCTCCTCTCATACATACTGAGAACGAAACTGGGTCCACTTAATCAACTTTCATTCTTCTGGTGTGCAGTCGGCCAGTTAAGGCAAGCAAACTTTGCGCTATCATTGAGAAGAAAGTCGGGCATTTTAGACAAACTTCTTCAAGCAGTAACAACAGCAACAAAGGGTAGGACGTATTATTGTTACAAAATATTTTATACTTTAAGGAGAACATCCCAATGGACGTAAATAATGCAGAATCGTTCAAAACATACATTGCATTCACTTTACTCACAAAAGCCCTCGCCATTTTTACCTTCAGCTAATGAGCAATGTTTCGTAACATGGGGCGATTTCTGCTTAATCGAGACTGCGTCTGGGATCTTGTTAAACAATACGCGGCTAAAAATCTAGAAAAGGAACTCCACTTAAAGGGAAAGCTGTTTGTGTGCTGAATTACTAGAGCAAATAAGCTTATTGTAAATGACTTAGGTTTTAAAGGAAATGCGGTTTGCATCGGTGAAGAGGTGGAATTTTGTATCCACTCTAGGGCTAGTATAATACAAGAGCTGATTTTTGACAGCCTGTCCTTGGCTTTCACCAGAGCAAATGAGGGAATTGTGCGCTGTATAGTGTATGTAAAATCTGGCTGTAGAAAATCACTATTGATAATATTTAGTAACAGTAAAAATACTTAGAATAAAATAGTTGGCCAGCGTTGGTTGATTAAGTATAGGTAGTTAAAGTCTGAGTTGAAAGATGAATTTCCGCTCTAAGTTTTCTTTGTTAATGCCGTAAATGCAGGGAACGATGATATAAACAGCCGTCAGCTCTTTCTAAAAAGGACCAGCATTAAGTATTAGAACGAAAGTTGTCGCACTTTAAATAAATCAAAGAATGAAATTACTTTAAGAGGCCAGGTCACACTATTGGTCACTATTTGCTGTCTTTTTAAAAAGCTAAAACATGTCTTCGCATTTAAAATTGAATCAGAAAATAACGGTCCAGTTTTGTTGTTTAAGGTTATACATTTAGCCATTGAAAGTGTTTTCCTTTATCTGTGTATCGATCAAGGCGGTACTAAGTAAAGATTTTAGCACAAAATTGTTCTAAAAACAGCAGTATTCTTTGTGACATAGCATCTTTGAAAACTGAATACTAGGTTCCATCTATAGGCTTCAGTTATGGGGAGACGCCGGTCTGTCTTTCGGAGATGTACGTGAGATCATGATTGACTTGAGTTGTCCTGTTTTTGACACGAAAAAAAACCGTATGGTTGGGAATTATATCACCGTCGAAGATGCTCTCGTTCACAGTCGTCAATTCTTCTCTGGCCCTGTTTCAGCGAGTTCTTTGTTGGTTATACAAAGCGTGAACTAGGCACCATTGAATGACCCAATTTTGGCGTCGCGGTGGTTAAACAGTAAACTGATTAAATGCGTACGTGCGCGGTCCGATAATATTCTTTACATGTAAAGAGGATAACATGTTAAGATTTCCGTCAGACCAAGTGGGGGCGGATAAGATGCCTTGATCGCTAGTTATCATAAACGCATTTTAAAAACTCTAAGCCGAAATCAAAGTGAAATCATTAGCAAATTGTGAATCAGATCGACGATGAGGTGACAGCAAAATGTTGCTAGTATACGTTGTATACTGTTAACCCAGAGTAAAAATCTTCAACGCCTAGCAGTTCCAGCTGTATCACTAAAAACTGAAGAGAGCGCGAAATCCAAATACTACTGGTAATCCAAGCTTAAACCTTTCATCATGTCTCAAAGCCAATTATGAATTTACGTATTGGGTGAATCCTAACTTCTGCGACTTCTGCATTTGTGGCCAAAATCCTGCGGTGTGACCACTAGTCTGCTACACAGCCGTTTTTAGTGTCGTCACGCACGGGGAGGAGCGTTGCGTGACGACACTAAAAACGGCTGTGTAGCAGACTATGTGACCACGGGATCTCTTAAGAGAAGCTTCGCTAAGTAAAATTTGCCTTTCAGTAAAGCAGGGCTCGCTGTTTACAGGGGAAAACGAACACCTTTAACCCTTTAAGCCCTAAGAGTGATCAGCATCAAATTTCTCCTTGTAATATCAATGCTTTGTACAACAGAGTGGTCATGAGAATTGCGGACATGATCACACAAGATGAATTTGATGGATATTTTATCAACTTCTCCCCGCTACTTCTGTAGGAAATGAATTACGGCAACAAATGAGAATTCAGTTTTTGAACTTAGGGTTTAAAGGGTTAAGAGAAAAAGGAAGAACAAGAACAATAACAATGTTCGATCTTGGGTTAGTTTCGGCTCGAAAAACGTGACTGAAAAATATAGAAACTGATTCTAACAGCGGGGCCAGTATTTCACGCCTACCTGTCCACCTACCCCTCCCCTAACCCAACATTTTTGCCCTAAGCGAGAAGTAAGTGTTAATGTTGACTTAAGAAGTGCCCACAAACCTACATTGATCCAAAACGGAGTTGAAAAAAGAAAGGTAGTTAAGACTATAGTAAGACATTAAAATGAAACGGATGGAAAAAAAAAGGTTTGAATCGCCAACATTTTCAACTTTTAATAATAAGCCCATGGCAAGTGCTAACTTATGAAATTTGAGTGATATCCTCTTTTCATAACTTCACTGCATAGGTACTAAGTCATGAATGAATTCAACACAGAATTGACCTTAAACTACAGCGATATCCGGGTGACATTGCCCCAGCCCGGCTTTGAACTTCTTATGCTCACACCGCTTATCATATGTTTGTACTTGTGTTCTGCTTCTGCTTATGCTTGCGTCACTAGTGAAGACGGGGCTTTTATGACAAAATGCAGGACGTTCTCTGAGAAAGACAAACACAGAACTTTATTGATAAATAACAACAAAATTGTGGCCTAGCCTAGGCCAAATAACGAAAATGATAAACTATTTTTTACTCTATTTATACTATTTTATAATTAGTTGCCGATTTTAAGGTGGCGCCTTTCTAAAAATCTATACAATTCCAAGCCTATTGCAATTCCATGCTTTTATGTTATCTAAATTAACTGTTGTCTATGCTTTTATGCAACATATTTGTTGCCGCCTTATCCTATAATCACAGTGTTTATTTAGCTTTTTAGCGAATTGTCTCCTTAAAAGCATTTTTCTGAACTTTCTTTTTATTATATTTTACCTTCTCTATTGGTTTGACGACAATTCCTTGCAAAGAAAAGTAATCAATTCTTCTCTCTTTCCCTTAAAAAGAACCCAAAAAATTGTTGCAAGTTGTAGCAAATGAGTAACAGTCATCCTGGCCTAGTTGTTTCAGAAAGCGCCGAGACGTTTCCAAGAGTTGAAAATAGATCAGTTTATTATTTTCGGTGTTTATCAGAGGCTTAAAGCCAATGACGCGACAGACCGCCGTGTACGCTCAACTAACCAGGATCTGTGTTATATTGAGAGCTTAACAGCGATTAAGTTATTTTCATTACATAATGGTCGGGTCTTTGTGTCTTAAATACTTGTGTTTCACGGGTGTCTTAGAGAGACATCGTTGACTGTTTGCGTAAACGATTTCAATAGAATTTAATTGAAGTTCTCCTCAGTTTTGTTTCATTACACATGACCACCCCAGGATAGAGAAAGGTAAGAATCCTCTTTATATCAAATGGGCTTTCAAGTTTTCTTAAATAATCTTGCCTGAAGTGATGATGGTAGTTAGTACCCTAAAGAGGATTTAAGCACGATTACAGTGTACAATTCTGGTCTGTTAACGTATTTTTCTGTATATACCGTACTGCAGTGCTTTAAGACGGAACACACCAGGAAATTCAGTAATTATAATTTTCAAGGGACAAAAACCTTGTACCAGAATAATTTAAAGAACACTGCATTCTTTTTTTTTTTACATTTTTCAAGGCCTACAGATGTAATTAGCCATCTGTAAAAGAATTGTGAAAACACAGGTAAAATTCTGAAAATTTCATGTGAAAGATGTAATTTTGTGAAATCTGACATTCATTTCCTCGGGCTTCCATTAGAAATTTTCTTTGGTGTTATTACAGATAACTAATTACATCTTTAGCCCTTGAAAAATGTAAAAAAAAAACTGTTTATGCTTTAAATTATTCTGTACAAGGTTTTTGCCCACTGAAAATTAAAATTATTCAATTTCCTGGTGGATTCCCTCTTTATACTTTTCCAAGAACATTCTCATACGATTTAACAATATTCATTAAATGCTTCCTTTTAGCAGTGGGTCGGAGCCTTCAACTGCTATGAAGCAATATCATGCTTAATTTTTTAAATTGATCCCTTAGCAAGATTAAGTGGAAATCTGGGTTTATTTTGGGCCATCACACATATGATGACGTGTTTCGTCCGTCTGGATGAGTTAGCGTTTGGCTTCTGATTTCTGGGTTATTCTCCCTCGTTATAAGAGAATTTTAGATTCGACGACGAGAACGACTAAGAGTACGACATTTGACTAAAAATTTCTCCACGTATTCTCAAAAAATAAATTTCCCGGAAAGCTTAATTCATTTTATTATTTGTCACTAGAAAAGTTAGCACTGTTATCAGTGAAGAAGGATAAGTCTTCTCCCGATCGTAAAAAAATACAGCTTCTAATATTAACAATTGATAAACCGTTTCCGTGACTTCGGCATCAGGCCCAGTTGTTCGAACGCCGATTAGCGCTAACCCAGGGTTAAATTTTATCCCGGGGTTCGTTTTTTTAAGCACTCTCTCGGATAGTTTCCTCTGTTCTTTTTAGAGTATCCAATCATCAAATTGTAGGCCAAGAGAATTTAACTGAATTTGCCTTTTAAGCTCTCATATCTGAGTTCAAATTTCGCACTAACTAAGGGTTTCCTTAACCCAGCCTCGGACAACCCGACCCAGCTCGCTAAGAAGAAGAAGACTGACCACAGCTAATACCACGTTTTTTCGGCCAAAGTGACGATGATTTACGCGCGAGCACTACTTAGTATTGAGCAAATCTCGAACTCGTAATTGTCGAAAGGTTTCTTTTCCTTGGCGATTCGACAACGCGGGTTTTCTTCTTTTCATTCTTTCGCAAAACAACGGATATAACTAGTCTAAGAAGCCCCCCAGTATAGCTTGTCATCCTTAACTAATTTACAACCAAACCGGACATTTTGCGTTTGAAAAATAACAAAATCCAATTATTCAAGTGTAGTGGATAAACTAAGAGAGATCCTGGGATTAGGCGGAGTCCATGTTTAGCAGACATTCTTCATAAATCGGACATTAGCCAAAGCCCAAATTCACTCAGTCTCAATTTTCTTGTAAAGAGCACTTGGTTAAAACGGGCCCCCCGCTAAGCGCATTCGCGTATCGGTCATTTGGAATTATCTAGACGGTATTCTATCTAAATCATATTAACAGGCGAAGTAACAAAAACTCATCGAGAGGGTTAACTTGTTCTATGAAAGAAACAAAGAAACAATGAATGAATGAATGAATATCCGTTGTCATATAGATATGTAAAAAAATGGCTTTAAAGGATAAACACCATTGCTGGTGATCCTGTAGCTTACATTGTGGTGCACAAATAAGGACAGAAAAAAATATGTATACGAATAAATATGGCAAGAATCCCAAATTGGCCACAGGCAGACCAGTTGGCTAATTACAAGCATGACTGAAGAGTTGAAGTTGTCGCTTCCGAGAACAACGCCGAATAGAAGCTTACCAGAGCGGGATTTGATCCCAAAACTGGCAAGTTTTTTAAAATCCACTGCCCTAAAATACTGAAAACAAAACAACAAAAACATTACCAAAAAATGGCTAGAATGCTGCCTCATCAATCAGCCTTAAAAAAGGACACTATTTCTGCATATTATAAATCGAAAGAGTTTGATTCCTGGTTTAGCCTTAATTTTTTTGCAAGCTGCTTTTTCAACAGCTTAACGTTAAGTTCTTCATTTGACTGCGAGGATCTAATTCCTCATTTCGCTTGACTTTTTTTCATATAATCACTTTCAAGTTATATTTTTCTCTTCGATGATTGAATTCATTCCTAAAGTCAACGACTTCTGTATTAACCGAAGGTCTGTTGATTATCTGTTTCCAGACTTGAAAAAAATGCGCTTTATTTGAGTATCAATGTATTTAGCACGAAAGTTACTAATTGGGGACACTATTTTTATGCCTCCAACTGGAGACGAGTCCGCCATTTTACTTGGTCATCCGGCGAGCCACGCGAAGGTCTAGCCATTTGCGGGGCAAAGGAAGTACCTTCGTTTCTCAGTTATGTTTAAGACCCTGAGTATTGGTCCAGCCCAGGGAATCGAACCTGCGACCTCCCTCTCTACAGTCAAGCGCTCTACCGACTGAGCCAATCCTGCTATAAAAGAACGAAAACTATTCGTTCTCTTCGTCTGTGAATGTATTGCCGTCTGGCTTCAAGATCATCATTGTCCAAATTACGCGTCATTGGCGTAGCTAACTGTACGCCACAGTACGTCTGTGCACACCTTGCGTCACTGGAAAAATAAATATAAAAAACAAAATAGACTAACCTGAAAGCATTGGAAAAGGAGGTAAATAAAGGATGGCTGAAAAACGGTACATTTGCCTACACAACTCCGCAAGGTTTTACAGCTACTTTTATTTAAACAGGCGGTTTTTTTCCCTTATAGTTTGCCACAAGCGAGAGTTATCTTTCAGTGCTGCTGTCTCCTTTCCAGACCTTGTTTTCATGTTTGCAACATTGAATTTTTTTTACATCTTCATTACTACCCGCCGCACAGCGCGCAAAGCGCGAATGAAAACACAACGACATATATGGAATGTGACTCTTGCTGGGTGCCTAATGGACACAATGAACCAGTTGTCTTATTTTCAGACCTTGTTTTCATGTTTGCAACATTGAACTTTTTCTACATCTTCCTCGCCTGTTGAATTTACATAGTAAACAAAGGTGATTTTTGGCTTAAGCATGCATATTCTACGTCAGCCTGTCTAAGCGGACATCCTGTATTAAGTAAAGATCCGGTGTTAATCTTAGACACAACTGCATTTGACCTACTGGAAGAACCGAAAGAAAGTGTCTTTATAAAAAACATGGTGTCCGTTTTAAAGGGGTTAAATTTAGAAAAAATGTAAGGGATTTCCCTCTCCAGAGGGACAAAGCAAACTGTCGGTAACAATGAGGCGTGCGTATTAAGCGGGACTTGACTGTACAGGTGTCAGTTGCATAAAACCTAACGTCAGAAGTGACCAATGTCAGTTTTCTCCTGACAACTCAATACATCAATAAGAGAAGAGGTTATGAGAAATGAATTATATAGATGATCTCCAAAGGGAAGTGTCAAATACGTCAGAAGTGGTTTTGGTGGAGTTCAGCTGACCAAGAAAATCTTGGTGATGACACGACACAGGAGACCCATTCATCTAATACACACAGGGTACTCAGCTAAACAAGCCTAATTTAACGTACAGCTATTATTCTTTTTGGTCAATATTGTTAATCACGCTATGTTAACCTTATTTTTGGGCTTCATGAAACAATTGTAAGTTATAATTATAACCATTAAAATGAAAGCTAGCACAGGGGAATGCGCAAGGGACATAAGGGACTGAGTTGGCAAGGCTGTAAGTGAATAAATTTCCCGGCAATGAAATTGTCATACAAATACTAAGCTGACTATGAATTTTACTGACATTTTGAAGATAGGAATACTGGTTATTTGTAGAGAATGCGTTGATTGGCAACATTGATCCCCAATACTGCTTTTGCTTGCGAATTAGGTACATGGTCGAGTATCGAATGAGTTGCCCCCGCAGCATTCAATATTATCAGCGTATTTCATCAATTACGAGACAGGAAGAGGGGGAATATTTTGGTTAAGCTGAGAGGTTTTCATTGTTTTTTTCCTCCGGCAGACCTTCCGTCAGCTCTTATTCATCGATTTCAAGAGGTGTGAGTAACATTAAATTTGTTTTTATTTTGATTGAAATTATTTTATTTCAAAACACTTTACGTCTTAAAAGGTAATATTAAGTTCTTGAATGCCGAGGAGAAAGGCTTGTCGAAGATTGAGTTTTCGATATTTGAGTGTCGAAAGCAATCTTATCAGATCTAGTAATTTAACTTTTATTACCTTGACATAAAAAGTTGGCCAGTCCTTTTTACTGCCTATATATTTTCTTGTTGTGTCGTATAGTAATTAGCTGGTAGCTTTTCTATATTCCAGGAGTTTTGGAGGCTATGCCGTCCAAAGCTATTGAACGTTCTGCAACAATTCTCTTTCTGGCTTTTAGTGCGTCGACCTTCCTACTAAAGGCATTAAAGTAATGAGCGTTTTATTTATGTGTGTCTTTGTCTCTCAATTATGTTGGAAGCCGACTGCGTCTAAAAACCTTAAATAAAAAAACTAAAAACTAGGCTGGGTATTTGAATGTTTGTGACGTACTTGCCTCAGTGTTTTTGCACCAAAGGTATTTGCGATACAAGGGCAGCTGAACTAAAATAACTTCAAAATAGTAAAAAAAAGAAACTTCTTTTATCAGGAAAGATCGATAGAAAGACGGAGACTTCAAATAAGAAGCGTCATTTATTGCCGTGCGCTGTCGGATGACATGACAGTAACATTGTCGTCTTTTTCTACGATAACGTGAATATTTGCAGTTAAATTAAACTGACTAGTAAATAATTCAAAGTTTGGTAAACAATGTGCCATAACAGAGGCGTTGCGTTTGATATGTCATGGCCGCTTAGAAAGGAGCATATCAAGCATTTTTTTTTCCGTAGAGCTGGAGAGTTTTGTGCTCAAGGAAGCGGCCTAAGATACTTAGTAACAGATTACATAATTCCGTTTGCAAAATGAAAGAAGCTGGACTGATATCTGAGATATCATGGGTAATCCTTCGCACACCTCTCATGCACGAGCTATATAGGATTAGTTTTTATAAGAACTAGCATTTCAGCCGAATGACATGAAGGCATATATATATATATATATATATATATATTGATCTTGACTGAAACAGCATTTCTTTTTCTTGTAAAGCTAGAAAGCCTTAATTTAGCTAACACTAACACAACTTTCCCTAACGACTACAACGTTTTGCATTTGTATTCTGCGTTGATTAAGCGACTTTTTCTTTCAAAGTCAATCAATCATTCAATCGAATCAATCTTTTATTTAAGTCCATTACACAATCCAGTAGCAGTAGATCTCTGCAAGTTTGTTGAGCTTTTCCAAGGAGTTTTAATTTATCCATTACAGACATTCGCGGCAACAGGAATATAGCTATTATGTATGTATCGGATTCCACTACGTAGAGTCAGTATATTTTTGTTGAACCAAACATTTCAATTTTCTTCCACAATAACTTATTTTCCTTCGAGCTATTTGGTAAACTGTTCCATATCATAGCACCTCTGTATCTGACTGCTAAATGGTGCTTGTGACAATGTATTCGTGGGAGGTACCGGTATGTACGCTACATGGCTATTAAAAACTAGCCAAAATTTATAATGGTTCGCGTTGATGCATGCTTCAGAAATAAATTTTCCAATCAGTGTTATCTGCTAGTTGCCGATAGGCTTATATTGTAAGTTGACGGTGGAAGCTTTCGCGTGACGTCAGCTTTCAACAGGCCGTGCCCCCAAGATTTGGCGCACTTATAGATGAAATGTAAGCGTTTAGTGATTCATAAATATTGACATCAGTGACCTTGCAAAAAGTTACACTTATTATACATGCAAACTTAATAAGTGTTTTTATAAACTTAACACTGGTTGGAGTCGACTGTGTTATATATTTGGGGAAAATCGCTCAGAAAACCATTGCTTTCACCTTGCAATTTGGATTCGGAGTTTATATACGCGTCAGTAAGTGTACCTCCAATGACTTCTTAAGTCTTTCTCTTGTCTTTCAAGACCTACTTTGTTTGTCTATCAGTGAGCGTACCGGCAAACACTTACCGTAGCCCTACCCAAAAACCTCGCAGAATTCTCGTGATACTAATAAAATCTAAACAGTTAAGGGGCCCGAACCTATTTATATGCGCGTTGGTTATGTTTTCAAAATTGCGTTTTCGGCATCAGGAAAGACTGATTTTACAGATTTCCATGATTTTAATCATCCTTAATAAAGAATAGTCGAACTTTAGGAAACTTTATTTATTTCGTTGTAGGTATAAAAACGTTTGAGATATCGGCATATGTTTAAATAAAACCGCATTTTACAAAAAATGGCAAGAGTACTAACCCCTGCAGATAGGAGATAGTCCGTCAGCAGTTTTCCTCTATTCGTGCGTCAACTTTCACAAATCATGTGTTAGCGTTGCATATTAAAGTTGAATTTGACCAGGTATTTGTGCATCGAGGTCTACGGTCACGATTGACTTCAAACTTGAAGATCACATAAAACTAGAGAGCCCTGACAGGCCCTGAGGCTTATTTGCTGAAGTTAGAAAAAAATCTGTCATAGGGTTTTGAAGTTATTGACATTTTTTGTAAAAATGCGGTTTTACTACGTATGCCGGTGTCTCGAAATTTTTACATCTACAAGAAAATAAATGACAGTTTCTTAAAGTTTGACCATTTTTTATTAATTATGCCAAAAATCATAGAAATCAGTTAAATTTTTCCTGCCGAAAAGCGCGACTCAAAAACATAACCAACGCGCATATAAATAGGAACGGGCCACCTTAAAGTTGTAACATCCTGAAATATCGTGGCCTGACAGGTTTCATTTGAGACGTCACACGGACCATAGTATTTTACCCCAGGAATCAAAAGTTAGAGCCACCTATACCATCGTTCATCTGTAATGGCGTGTTGTTAATAGACTATAACTGACTCAGATATCTATATGAGTAAGGTACTAATACGAGATTTAATAACCTGACACATCATGAGGATGTCTCTTATAATCAAAACAACGACAAAACTAAAATTTGTAGTGCTGTCAAGCAAGGCTCGAAAAGCAACTTTTTGGGTGTCTCTTATAATCAACCGGCAATTAACGACAAAACTAAAACTGATTTATAGCCAAGCAAGGCTCGAAAAGCAAATTTTTATGAAGAAAATCTGATCCATGTTTGTTAAACTAGACAGCTCGTAAACGCGTTTAATACTTTACATGCACACCAATTAAACAGAAACTTCGTTTACATCGAACCGTTCAATTTTGCGACCTGTTCATACGGAACTGACGAACCCGAGATTGAATTCCAACTTTTTTCAGTGGTTTTACGATCTCTCAGAGTTCTTGCGCAGAGCGCCTCTTTAGCATAGAATTCCAAAATGGCGTTAGTAAGCACCACGCCTTTACCGTACAGAATTTTAGACGGTCATGGTGTTCTAATTGTCGACCGCACTGGTTAAAAATCAGATCTCGATTTTGGCGTTCAAAGTTTTGAACTGCTAGGCGTTTAAATTTTAAAATTTTAATACACTGAGCACGGTTCTGTGTGACATCTTGTCAAATTCCAGTGGCTCTTTTCTAGAGATCCAACGCAGGATCTTCGTCCACGGTTTTGGCAGCTAATATAATCTTTTATTTTTGATAGTTGCCCAATACGAAGAGGTTGCTACCTCACACTCGCTTGTATAAATTTTTTTCGTATTCTCGGCCCTATCGCTCCCGAAAAACAAAACAAAAAAATAAGATTGTACATATGCTACATTTATTTAAGCCACGCCATTTGTCAGTGACAACTGCATTTGCGGTGAAAGAGCATGTTTATGTACGATGGGTAACCGTTTGAGATTCACTTTGTGGTGTTGTGCTATTGTAGAGCCATGCTGTCCGTCATGGCTGACAAAAGATTGGCTAAGTCTAACAATATCATTATCTGAAAGGACATAATATATAATTAACGTATGAATTTGCGGAATAAAGATTTCCAACAGAAGAAAATCTCGCTGTTGTTGTCTTTCTTCTGAAAATACCATTTCGACGTTCAAGCAGAAAGTCCGGGAAAGTTTGTGATTAAAATGTTTTTTAAGTGTATTTTTCGTTGTGCTATCAAAAGTGTTTGGGAAGTACGATCTTTAAGTTTTAAGGTTTTTTTAAAAAAAATGATCGTTGTGGGTAATGTCTATAAAATGCGATCTTCACTGTTAAACTATATTGATCAAAACAAGGGAAGGAACCACCTCTTTTCTGTGTTTATTTAACTTTTCGTCATCTGAATTGTTTATATTCTGTGTGCATTTCTAGCCCTCTTGAGGTTAAAAGGTTACAATAGTTATTTAGAATTCAATCATACTTGCTGGGCGACTAAGGTGCACTTGGGTCAAGTTGCCGAGGCGTTTTTCCTGTACTGATTCACAGGGTGCAAACTAAACCGATGTACTCATTGTTCCAGCTTTTGGGTTTGTAAAAAAATCTTATTATATGGCCATTTCGATGAAATCTTCTAGGTTGTACCTGATTTTCTCATTGTAATATTTGTCTATGTTAGAGCTCAGTATTCAACAAAAGGAAATTTAGTATATTTAAAATACACTTGGATGTATTTCATCCTCGTGGGAGCATACCTTATTTGGACTTCATCTCTACTTCCATCCTGAGCACTAAATGTCGAAGATTCATAAAATAACAAAACAAAAAGTGAAAAAAAAAGTTTTGATTCAAACTGTCTGTTTTTGAAAGAGATACATCCTTCAGGGCCAATCACATTTTGGTCTTTCATGGAAATATTGTTGGACCATCAAGAACGATCGCTCGCCAATATTTGCTGTTGATCAGCTTTGGTATTTAAACAACGGAACACGTGGTGGTCGAATTCGTCCCAGTGAGCGGACATTTCTTTTGAAGGAAACGGGAAGGAAATCCAATATGAATCTGTTTGCAATCCGTGAGGAAACAAAGATATTTGGCTTGTACATGTCTTTTTTGAGTTTACCACCACGGTATCTGCGCTGTCACATACTTCGTCTGGCGTTTGACCTTAAAATCTGAAATCAAGCTGTGCCGAAGCAAAAGTCTTACTTCGTGAAGAAAATGCGTCGAGATCATGCAGACATTTTGATCATTCCGGCATGAATAAAACCTGTAGAAAATGCATTGAAAAGCGGCGTGAATCGTAGCGTTTCACACTGAGTTCTCCTCTAGAAGTCCGTATGTTCATATTTATACAAACGTTTGGCAACAAGCAGTCGTATTAGTAGGATAAGTTCCTTGTGGAATCATTGCCTTGTCACATACATACGCGCAACCAACCGAATAGGGTAAGTAGAGATATATAGAAATGATTTTTGTAAACGACGTTTAGCGATATCATTTTAAGCCAGATATGTAAAACTGAATGGTGATTCCGTGTGACTTGCCGGCATCAAACTTGATTGTTAATTCTATCCTGTCCCGATTTCCCAACGCCTCAAATCCTATTTAAGTGATTTAGTAGCTACTCCACGTTAATACGTTTTTATGCTATTCACTAATAATCACCTAATACTGTTTTAATTGGCCAATTGCGATAATCTAAATCGACAGTCTGCCAACAGATCCATCGGATAAATTTTTAAAGGGCCTTGAATAAGCACTGTCTGCGCTGACCTTTCAGTTATTGTCCTAGTCAAATGATTCAAGGCAAAACCTGTTTTCGAGAGTTATCCCGGGGGAAGGGGGGGTACCCAGGCCAATTTAGGGTAGGTGTGTGCCTTTAAGAGTCCTAAGCTTCTAGCCCTTAAAGTGTTTTAACACACGTGGCCAGTGTATATGCAAATATTTTTGAAAAGCAACAATAACAACAACAAAAAACAAAACGAAAAGAAAGCGTTTTCATGATAGCAGAGTTCAACTCCAACAGGATTGATTCGAAACACCAACATGGCCGCCGTTTCGTTATTTGGCCGCCGTGACGTTATGTGCAAAAGGTCTATTTTACAAGGGTAAATAGAATTTAAAAAATTACACTCTTTTCAGGCTCAGGAATATTAACTGACGCCATTAGGTTGACTTTTCTATGCATGGGCGGTTGTATTTTTCATCACATTTTTCTATGGGCGCTTATTGGGCGCTTATTCGAGGCTGGGCGCTTATTAAATTTTCACCATTTCATAAACCATGCACGCAACAAAATGTAAACCTAATTATCAAGGTTTTTTTTCTCCGTTGCAAATTAACTGGGTGGGGCGGGGTGAGCGCTTATTTGAGCTGGGAGAAGGGGGGGGCACCCAACGACCATTTCTTCCTAAATACATTTGAAAACACTTTTTAGGCTATCCACCCAACGAGTTTCTTCCTTACATTTGAAAACACTTTTTCTCTATCAATGCATTCTATTAATGCATTCTAAGCGGCGCTATAAAATTCGTACCTGTTCGGTCATCCTAGGGGAACTTGAGTCTTTTCGAAATTACAAGGGCTTCAGTAATATTTTTCCGAAAATTTTAGGTGCAATATAACGTATTACGATAGTAAGAATTTTTCTGATTCCTCTCTCCATCACATTTTTGATCCGAAAATTTAACGTTTTCATTTTTGTACGAAAAATTGCCTAACCTGAAAATCGTAGGGAATTTATTAGGTAAGCTTCAAAAATTGTACATGAATGTAACGGTCATCGAGAAATTTTTATCCGTCCTTAAGGTATAGAAAATTCTAGGCAATATTTACTTCTCCGACATTTTACAGAGAGCAGTCGTTGGGTACCCTGTATTTTCAGCAGCTTAGATCCCTTGTTATCAGGCACTTTATCAAGGACCACAATACCAAAAAAGATACCCTATTTAACGACGGAGAACTCGAAAACCATTCCCAATCCTGCGCACATACCATTCTCGTCCCCTGAGCCTCCTGGGGGCCTAAGAACGAGGACCGGGAGGCCCTGCGGACAAAGGATTTGAAGTCCTAGATTTTAGGACTTCCGGTGATTTCCGATTCACAAGTAAGTTGGAGGATTCTCTTTTAAAAGCTTTGAATCGCCTAAAATTACAGTCATTGCCACCTGGGCAAGAGTAAGTGACCGCTATTAGAAATGACCGGAAGTCCTAAAATCTAGGACTTCAAACCCTGGCCTCCACGGAGGTTCTGGGGACGAGAATGCGCACATACGTGTATAAGTTACATTGGCAGATCCCCCCCGGAAATTTTATTAACTCTCGCTGGGTTAACATATTGAGAAATGCCTCCCAGTATCACAAAGGAAGTCTTCAAAACCGCATCTTAACCACAGCAGAGTCCTTTAGGAATGATAATGATAATAAACAATGAAATGTATCTGTTTTGTTCTAATCATGACATACATTACCATAAATTACCATAACTAGAGCAAAATAACATTTAAACCAAGAGAAAATCGAACCACAACATATCTATTTCATAGTCTCCGTAACCTTCATAGACTTCGGGGCAAATTTATGGTAAACAAACGAGCAAGCAGGCAAACAAACAAACAGAAACAATCAAGTGTCGCAGCATGAATTAACAATGAACTCTGTCACGTGAAAGTATTGATGAAGATAAATTTCCTCATTCGTGAAATAAGAAAGCTGTCTCCTGGACCTTTAATTCAGTGTAAACCATAATCTCTGAGCGGGTGGCTTGCGAGAAGAAAAACTGATCCAGTTACCATTTTAATTCGAACAAGCCTTCTAAACCAATGATTTGCTTAGCATTTCCCACTAAGGCAGGGGTATTCAGAACGCATATTGAGAACAGTGTTCTCAATATGCAAATGAGGCGCGACAACAATTAAGCATTGTTTCTAACCCTCTGAGAAAAATGCCATGTTGCCTTCTGCATTCTGCGTTCTGCAAAATACCCATGCCCTTTTCCACTATAATAGCTATGTAAAGTGCATGCTACATGAAAAAAATCCTTTTGGCTGGTGTCTCGTTTTATCAATTAATATGATGAGGGGTAATCAAATATGGTCACGCAGTTAACATATTAACTTATAGTTTGCACTTTAGGGACAGACCATTAGAAAACTTATGGGGGAAGGGGGGGGGCGAAGTACCCAAAAAATACTCGCGCAGAGGAAAATTAAATGAAAAAAATTCTTGCACGCCAATTAATCCTAAAAAATATTCATGCTATGGCCTAAAAGAATTCATACAAGGAATTTGATAACGAAAACAAATTACTGCGGCTCGAAAATTGCCCTCCCCTTCCCCCATAACTTTTCTAATGGTTCGTCCCTAATATTCCTGCTGAATATTATGTGCACATACCATCACCACGTGACCAGTGGAACTGTAGGACCCGAGGGGGGTGGGTACTCCCCTATAAAAGTGACGGGGGTGTTCGTCGTACCTTTTAAGGTTTGAATTTGTGGATTGGTACCGCTTAGGGTGCTAAAACCTAAAATGTCTGCTGCCAGAGTTGTCTCGGTGCCTTTTAGGGTTATCGATCTGAGAAATGTATTAGCGCCAGCTATATAATTTGTTGTTGTTGCCGGTTGGTACCACTTAGTGGGGGAAAGGAATTTGAGACACACCCATAAAACAAGATATAAAACAAGATTCTGGTACCCTTCAGGTGTGTTCTCGAAATTTTCCAACGAGCACTCCCGTCACTTTTACAGGGGATAACCCCCAGGTTGTAGGACTGTTATTTACAAACATCAACGTCTTTATTTTGTTGGTGAAGGTTTTGTTTTTGTAAGTTTTTTTGGAGCTAATATTTGTACCAATCTCGCCGCTCGGGCCACAAATTTCTACCAATGTCAGTGCTAAATGTAGCTAAAAATTTCTGAGAGGGGATTAAAATCACGCTTCTTAGAGATGGTTAAAATTACATCAGTCAATAGTTGTCGCTGAATACATTACCTCAGGAGCTCCTGATTACATACTTTATAACTGAAACACTGTGGTCTTGTGATAATCCGTTCACTCAGCTAGAATATACGCAGGAAAGAGGCGCCTCCGTGTAAAAAATGTCGATTATTGCTGTACTTAAGTCAATTTGCCTACTTCAATACTTCAACACAAGTTTATTAGAGTAGCCTGCCTGAAAGACGAGGCGAGCGAAGAGGGTGAGACGAGGGGAGGGGAAAGAACAAAGCAAGTCCAGACACTCGCTCGCTGGATATAGTCGCTCTTGAGCATGTTTTCAGTCGGCACAATGTACTGAACGATTACTCGCTTTCCACAAATGTAATTGGCGACGTACAAAAAATACGTATCAACTTTATTGTCTGCGTTTCAATGGATAGAATTCACGGTCACTCTCTGCCAAGGTCTCAGCTGCACTAAAGGAAGGTCTTGATCTGCGTCAAAGTCAAAAACCTGGGTTTATGGGAGGTCATTTACAAAGCAGGTTGCACGGGATATTTCTTTACGAGCAAAATTAGCAAGGCTGCAAGTATATGCGCAGAATGGAAGACATCGCCGACAGCATTGTTACCGGAGCCAAACTAGGTGTATATCTCAGAAATAAGATTATCCAAAAGATCAATTGTGAGTGCCCTTTTGTACTAATCCTTTGGCGTTTCTGCATGCTTCGGTGCAGCTGCTGCCGAACAACTACGCGTGGCATAGATGGCTCGATGATCGACTGCTTTTCTCGCTGAGTTGGGTACCCTTCTGTACCAGTCCCTGCCATACTTATCGATGTCTCCTCTGAATCAGATATATTGTAGCCGCACACTTCAAATCTTTGAAGTGGTTGTATGCCTGGAAGAAATCGATGTCTCGCTTTTTCAGTATGACACTGAGTGGCTGTAATACTGAAAGGCAATCTGGTAACCTGCGTATTGATGGATTAGCATTGGATGCCACATGTAATGTAATGGGCTGTTCGCCTTACTATTGCTGTCAGTGTCCCAGTTCCAGATATAATAATTAAAATCCTCAAATTGGTTTGCAAATAGCAGCCCACTTGACATAGCTTCTAGTGCTATTAGCATTGATGGGAAGTGCAAAAAAATCATGCACTTAATGGCTTTCAACCTGGCACTGTGCTTCGCATAAGCTGGGCAATGTTGTTCTACAGACCTCTTGCTAATCTTCATTATAATTCTAATACTGTAACCCTCGATATGGCATATGATACCTTTCTGATTTTTTTCTCCTTTGCCAGCTTGAAATTACAGCCAGTCTCATAGCCCAAAGTGGGGTTCCGGAACCCCTGGAGCCCTCCCCTGATTACGGCACTGTGGACGGAAGAGGTTTCGAATATGATGATGTCATACATCACTTAAGCATGCCCTGTAAGGGATGCTATCATATTGTTCATCTACGTGTGGACGCGTAGTTTATTTTGAAAACGGAACTCCGTTATCAAAAATATCCGGATACGTTTGGACAGGGCCTCAGTGTCGATAACTGTAAACATATCCTGGACTATGTAGGTTTACGAAAGACTGAAAAAAATTGTAGAGAGCTTGCAAAGCAACAGCAGGAGCTCCTGACAACGGTAGAAAGGGAAAATTCGAGAAAAAAAACAAGTAAGCTTGAGTTGTACTTTTAATAGGAGCTTTTTTGTCTTTTGTCAAGCTTATTCAAACCAGCCATTTCACTAAATTCTTTCAATTTCCGCCGACAATTTTAGATTCAGAGCAAAAAATTTAGATAACATGAATTTCTGTATTGTCTCATATCCTTGGCCTCATTTTGAAGTAACGTCGTTTTCGTTCATGCTGTGTCATTTCACGACCATAGCGGTAAATTTTATCATTTTAGCCCTCGGAAAGATTTAAAATAGATAGGCACAGCAATAGATTGATCTCATTATGTGTATATCGATATATAATTAACACAATACCACATGGAAAGTGCTTTGTATGGGTATTTACGTTCTCATTGATTTGTGTCTTTCGTGTTGTGCTCACTCCTTCGATTTCTGATATGTCAACAACTCGTGCGTGCATATCGTAAGCGTGCACTTTGCAAAGATGACTGAGGTGGTTTCCCGACACGCAAGATCCCAGAAACCATAACCTTTCTTTGCAAGTTCCTGATTTGTACAATACTAATATCAAATTTTTGTTATGATTGATTAAGGGACAGCAGGGTATGTTTTCCTTGATTCTTCCATGCAACTACGAGCAAAAAATATCCTTCTCACCCAAGCACTAACTGAGCCTGACAAATTGACATCTCGAAAACTTGAGTTAGTGATGCAAATTCAGTATAACCAATCCTGATCACTATAGTGTATACACCCTTGTGTGATTGCTGAGTTGTGACTCATAAAACGGTCTCTTTGCAGTGAATGTGAACAACAGCACGTTAAGTAGCTTAGTCATTGCAAACGATAAACCAGTCGGTATAAAGTTATACAGCCGCTGCAAAAACATAAAACTTAACAAAGAAAAAGTAACATAATAGTAACAAAATGAATTAAGATATAAAACGATTAAGTTTAATCATGCTATGTACGTGTAAATCGAAGAAAGATGAGATAGATTTCTTCAATTCAAGGTTAACAAAATGATGACACGATTTCTTTAATTTAAGCCCTGTATGGTTTTTTCTGTCTCCAGGAGGTATTCTAAATATTTTTTTATTTGGAACTCAAAACTGAAATTTTTCCTAAAGTATTTCCCTTACAGTCGAATATATAGGACCGTTTAAAAGGACGGACATTTTGCCTCCAATATCCGGCATTAGATCTGCAAAAGGGACAGAGCTTATTTCTTCCTCCGTATTGGGTCATAATATAATAATTAATGATTGCCTATTAGTAGTTAACAAGGTTTTCATGTCAGTAATATTCCTCTAAGAGTCAAATGTTGTAAAGACACTATAGTTGGAAATGCTCTAGCAAACGAATTCTAGCATTTGTCGTGTTCTCTAATCTCGGTTTCACTTTATCAGCGTGATTTCACTTTCTGAATATAGACAAGTTGCTTACCGTCATGTCAGTATAGCTGTTTAGACCCTCAAGCCTTCTAATTTTGATCAAGGTCGACGCTTTTGAAAATATTTCTATTGAAGATCAGCCGCAATGGCAATAGTAATGTGAAATGTTATTCGTTCAGTTGTTTAGAATGAAATGGTAGCCTGATAGTTTAAATCGGTTTGCTCATAGTTTGTCTAGCACGATAGAGATATTAATTGAGATGCTTCTTCCGCTTCAGCTTTGTTAAACGCGTCAGACGATGGTATCGATTAGCTCTGTGTGGCAGCACTGTGACTTTTACTAATTTTTTAATTCCATCCTCACTGGTGGCTAGTGCAATGTTATATGCTAAAAGTTACCGCTGTGTTACCGGTTGGCTGTCGTTCTCAGTGTGATTACTTTATTCTATTCACATCGATCACTTCACTGAATACTTGCACATTTACACACTTTACATCACTCTGTGAATGGATGAATGAGGTCATATAAAGTAGCGTAGGTATCTATGCTCCTTTTTCGACAGTCTGATTAGGGTAGAGTCAGTCTTCCGTGAATAGCGTCTTTTACTTTCGATAGAGTACGAATGTGGTACATTAATCAAATTTACAGATGCAGAGCTCATTGATGGTTAGCAGTTTTAGTTGGCAATTTCTCTTCGAAGATCTACGTGTCAACCTCTACTTTTTTAATCAGTTGCAAATTCTTTGTCTCAAGCCGTTTTAAGTTCCCGATAAGACCCCTTGAAATTCTGGTTAGTTTCAGGTGAATTTGGTGTTTAGTGATATGAAGTAATTAAGATTCTGTAGGTGAACCGACTTCAGTGTAGGCGAAACGACCAACATTCTTTTCTCCAGTCTTCTACTTTAGCTAAAGTTTGCAATTTTCTGAGTTCTCTAATGAGGCTCTATATTGTTGCATGGACAGCGCATCATGACTACAAGCAGGACTTCTGAAGCCGAGCTTTAAACGCCCTTGAACTCAAAGCACATCACCTCCGTTCAGAAACAAATGGAGTCAGCTGAGTATCATAAGTTGATTCTTCATCGTTTGTCTCATGAACAGCGTAAGGAAACGAAATTCTTGAGTCTCGAGAAGTACAAATTCAAAACAGATTGCTTTCACAGACGGAATGCTATTCAAGACATAAGAAAAACTCTACTGAAGATAAAATCCTTTAGGACTAAAAACATACGAAGGGGTGCTATTGTTCCTATTGCTAACGTAACATTACACAAGTATTCTGAAAAATGCACTTGCCCATGACAAAGGTATCGGCTAAGAAGAGTCATATAGAGGATTTCCACCGTTCTGCTAGAGCATGATAATTATCACATCTCCAAGGAAATAAAGAAAGATCGTTCCATTGAATTTACGCCCTTGTAGCTCATATATATTCAACGGTTTTAAGAACCGATACATGTCGTCTCGTCTTTTATACCTAAAGATGTCTATAACAACTGGTGATGTTATTTTAAATGTTCAGTTCATAAGATATTTACTGCAGATATACCTTGAAAGAAAAAACATAAACTGCTTTATTACAAAGCGCACAGGAAAACATAAATTACTTTCATGACTATTCAAAACCACTAAGATGATTTGTCTGACAGAAGAAAATATTTCTCAAGATTATTCTTGAACCAATTATCTTCTCGGGGAAAATTCCAGAAAAAGATTAGTATTAGTATAAAACTTATCCCTTGTAGAAACATGACTGTAAAGTCTACAAATGTGGTTGTGTACAGACTTGCAATTGAAGTTGACAGAGGCGTTGTTATTCAACGGGAGGACGGTATGTTATGATCTAGATTTTAATGCTTGCTCTAGACAATTATTCATCAGTAATTTGTCTGTTAAAATTGTCCGACACTCGTCTATTGCCACAAGTACATCCAAAACAAAGAAATTAGGCGTTCTCTTGAAGATTCCCTACTAAATTGGAGTTTTTTCTTTTTCACTCTGCAATTTGAAGAACAAATTCTCTTTTTGCCTTCAAAGAAAGTACACCGAAATCCCTTCAGCATATATTTACTTCAGTATTTCCAAATTTTGAACAAAGTCACAGTCACTGTGATTGAGAAGACTGCCTTTGTAGCATGAAATCTGCGGCAGAGAAAGAAGTGGAAGAGAGGAGGAGGAGCAAGCAAGCCAATGATCAGGAACGACTTGAACTAGCTCGCGTATTCTGGAAGTGTATACTTTCAAAATTAATATAGTATTCCTGAATTCGGAGACTTAGAGCAAGTGTTTTCTATGGAATAATTAAGCTCGTAGCTGGGTTCCATTCCGGGGGGGGGGAGACTTCAAGGCAAAGGGATGGGGATGTTTGCCGGACTATTAGAAATAAACCGCAAAGGAGACCACTCTGGGCCTGGCTTCTCAGAGGCCTCATTTAACCCCTTTAAGAAGACTATGCATAGACATACTGATGCAGCCGTCAAATGCCAGAGCTAGTGAATTTAATTGCACAACCGATTTTGTACGGACTGCTGTCTTCAAAACACTATGGCGACGTTTGATTCTTAAATTTTATAGATGTTTCTTTGCACGGAACCCTAGGTAATCCCTGCATGTATGGATAAACTTTTGCTTTTCGTCCTCAAAACCTCAGGGGAGACCAAAATCTGTAGTTAACACCCCATAAAAGAGCTACCAGTGCCCATTTCTCTTTTATGGGAGTCCCCCGGAGTTCCATGACTAGGTTTTTTTTTCTAGCTGATTTATATTGCAAGATCTCTGCATGGGGCTTATGGCAAGGCACAATAAGCGCAGTGTTTGGTTACTTCACAAGTTGTTTACTCTATCTCCTACTTTGCATGGTCATACTTGCTATCTTGCTGCGCTAACCTTTAAACACGTTTTATCTCTAATTCCTCATTTCGAGATGTTATTCTTGTCAAATTCGACCTACTCGTTACATTTTAGAACGTTACTTTCTCTCACAGACCACACCACACGCAAACATTCCCGCCTTTGCAGACCGCGTGCAGCTCCTTTTCCCGCCATGTTGCAGGTGTAAAGCGAATGTCAAAGGAAGACGAAAAAACTGCGCAGTTAGTTTGAGTGCATAAATTTCCTTTTTTAATAGATATAGAGCATTTATTTATAACCAGTTCGAGACACTAGGATAAATAATACAAAGTTTCCAGAAAATGTGAAATGACTAGAAAGCGAAGTAAGGACTTCTTTACCTAATCTGACAAACTTAAAAAGGTCAATAACGCACGCATGAATGACCTCATTGAAAAGATAAATCCCCATAAAAAGTCAATATATTTAAGTTATTTCCCACAACTGCACGTAAAAAAGTCTTTAAAGCATTGATTATACAATATTTTTTTTCTAGCCTCCAACCCAAAGCAATTGGAAATTAAGAATATTCTGGCTAAATTTTTGGCCTTATTAATGCATCATCTCCCTAGTTTTGTCAAATTTCCTTGTTGTTTTCTTTTCTTGGTAGCCTATGTTTAAAAGAATTTAATGGCGTGTCAGATTTTCATACTTTTCGATGCATTTTTGCTCACCAAAAATTTAGAAAAAATTCGCGTACTGTTTACTAAGAGTACAAGCGATCAAGATCTAGTTTTCATAATACTTTCAATCCCCTGCCAAACAAACAAATGCTAATTAATCGCGGATCAGTAATACCTTTGATGTCCCCCAAACCATTAAAAGAACGTTTTGCAGCTATTTAAGGTTGAAAGTTGGTCTTGCAAATTTTGGTGACTTTATGCAAAGATAAACAAATCCTTATTAGGTCGTGTTTCTTTTGTTTGTTTTGCATACTCAAAATTGGGCTCATAAGTTGCTTTACTATTTTTTTCTCGTCTTAATTCTTTACGAACACCCAAAGAATAATATCGTTGGCATTGAAGTATCACTGTGACAACTCGCTCTTTAAGACCTTATATCAACATTTCTCGAAACTGTTAACGTTACATTTCCTGTGCCACAAGGGAGAGGGTCTCCAATAAGTTTTTCGGGATGCGGGATTTCCCTTATTTGAGGCTTGGGATTCGGGATTTTAAAGCGAAATCGGGGCGAGATTCGGGATTGAAAGTATGCGCGGGAGGTGGGATGCCAAAATTAACCTTCGGCATTACGGGATTGCCCGAATTTTTGGTCGGGATTACGGGATAGAAAAACCCTATTGAGGACCCTCAAGGGAGAACTCGGATCAGTCTTTTGATTGTTATTCTCCTGGTCATTCTCATTTCTCCTCTCTTGATCATGGAATGTTAGCTTATTCTTTATCAGAGGCTTAATGTATGGTTAAGCTGTGCTGAAAGGAGGAGTTCAGATTCTACGGTCATGATCACAACGTTATGATTTAAGTTAATTAGATTTTCTTTAAAACAAATAACGCCTTGATCTCTCGTAGCACTAAAAAATTTAAGGATTCTAGTCTTATAGAGAAGGAATATGCCTTTTTAGCTTTTAAATAAGCCTCAAAAGGATTTGCTAGGATTTTCCGAAACGAGGAAAGGCTTGTAAAGGCGGGATTACTGTGAATTCTTTCATCTCGTCCTGCCCTGAGTGTTGTCCATAAAAGACCTGAATATGACGCCGGCGAATGACATGAAAATCAGTAAATTATATCAAAGGCCTTTCCTAGAGGACTGAAAAGTTCTCGTAGTGCACTCATCTGTAGAAATGAGGTCATTCACTCATGTTTCTCCCCAGCTATCGCTTATGAGTACCAGAGTCAACCTTTGGTTCGTAAACAGGGTTTCTACGCATTGCTCCTTGCATAGTGGTATCAGCAACTGAGCTGGAAAATGATTGATAAAGCTGCTGCTTTTCGCCGTAGACTGTTATAGAACATTCTTTATTTTGGAATATATATTCATTGTATTTGGTTTATTTTACATAATGCGATGGTGTCCACTAATTATGAATGTTGTAATCTCCTCTTTAGTGTGACCATTACATAGCTGCCACGCCCTTTATGAAAGCCTCGTAAAAAATCGAGCTGAACTTAACCGTTCCATCTTCTCTGAGTCTTGTGCGCTCTTGATGAAACTCCTGTCATGATAATGAATTAAATTTATCATGCGAAAAATGCGCTTTGTAGGAACAGTAAAAGATATACTGAGTCAAAATATCTGCCATTATTAGCAATCGTGCAACGGGACTAAAATTTTTGTGAATTAAATTGCAGGCGGTCTGTAAGTCTCAGTTGCATTGGTTTTAACATTAAGGTGGGGATAAATAAAGGAATTCAGAATTCTGCCTATAACTGGGTCTCTGAGATTTGACGAAATTTCTGGGTAATAGCCAAATACAATAATGTCAACGTTCACGTTGTTTTACTGTGTGCTTTGATCACCCTACTTGACAAGAACGCTTTCTACTACGTTCTAAACTAGCAGTAATCAGGTATAAGTGAGTGCGTTTGAAATTGCGATTTGTAGATGACTGATGAATGTCACCAAAGTGTGGAAGTTTGCACAATTTAGTGAAATTTTATGTAGGGAACGGGTTTGAAAAAGCAGCGTTCTTTATCAGCAGTTTCTTCAAAGCTTTCGTAGCTTTTTTAATAAACATTAACTCGAGTGAAATTAGAATATTCAACGATGTAGTAAAATACAGTAGCTCTTGGAGTACAAGAAAATGCAATATTATTTTTATTGCCCGAAAGAACAGAAGACAGCACACAGCATTTCGTAATTTTAAATAGCTCTTTAAGGGCGCACAAGACCTCTGATTGTCGAGATTTACCCGCAATTGGTTTACCATATGTAACTCGCTCTGTAGTGAATTCGCAGACAGTCTGCTGATTACTTGCCATAGTTTTGCAAATCAACAGTAGGCCAGCAGATTTTCGTTGTCGTCCCGGAATTGTAAATCAGCCCCCAATTTGCCCCGTAGCATTTCTAAACCGGCTGATGAGGTGACATTCGGTAAAGAAATATCAAAACATTCTCTTTTGTCGAAACGCCATGCGACCTAACGGGACAACTGGCTCTAGGATCGAGAGGTCTTAGGAAGCGAGTGGTGTATGACGTATTTCCGTATCCAGTATTTGAATAGCCTCCTACGCAGGCGCTTTAAGATCATCTTAGGGGAGTTCGTACTTCGTCCCTACCGACAAACGCCTATTCAACCTAGAACAACATTCCAAACTTAGCCCAGCCAATCACATTGTGCCTTTCAAACTCTTGACGGTTTACCTTGACCCCAGGGTAACCCAAAAATTACTCGATCCGCATGAAACACTAGGAAGGCTTTTAGACTCAGAGCGGCAAAAGTAAGATTTAGTAAGATTTTAGAATACCACGTGCACTGCATAACCAGTTAGCGAAGGAAAGAAAAGAAGGAAAAAGGTAACTCTAGGGTCTCGTTTTTACACTATCACGAGCTTATGAGTCGTGTTTCCTAGCCTGTCTACACTTTATTTCAAAACTGTTGCCGATTATTGGTCACTTACCAGGCGAATAAAACAATGGGAAAGGAATGTTCCTCTCGGTTGAACAGGCGTTTTTAAGGTGGGACGAAATACGAGCTCCCCTAAAAACGCCTGCGTGTGAGGCTAGTATTTGAACCAAACACCAATCTTTCCAGTAATTGCTAGTACCCAGGGTTCTCGCGCGTTGAGTTTAGGTTGCGTTCTCCTAGCGTCGAACGCAATAAAAAGAACCACGTGAAAGCACCGTTGTAAATAGAATTCATTTGACTGGTAACATCGTAGGATTTAAAAAGACTAAAAGAGTACCGTCTGAAATTACTGCTGCCGTTGAAAAGGATTGCTGGTTTTCAGTGTCACGCCATTCAAAATAGATCAAAATAAAAATCAAAACTGCCAATAGATAAAGTCCGAAATCTGGGAAATGAAAGGAGGTAAATATACAAAGACCCTCGCCAAGATTTAAGTCAGAGGAATATTTCGTATACGAGATATCCGAAGAAATGTTTTTACCAAATTAAAAGAGATTTGTATGGAGACACCATGCTGGTGCCCATCCGAATGAGCATCAATATGGCGGACGGAAACCAACAGAAACATGTGTTACCGAGTTTTGCTACAAAAGCGTGAATTGATTCAATCCTCTGGTGTAAATGACGTTAATTAGTTAATTAATTAAACACTTTTATAGCGCTCACATCCACTAGTTGTTCGTGGCGCTCTACAAGCCCAAAATAATAATTTTATAGTAATAAATGCATGAAATAATATATAGATTTGGCCAGGGCTGAAAAGGAAGCCCTCGATAATATTTAAAGTTTGTTCAAACAAAATATAAAATCGTGAAATGCTAAGCGGCGAAGGCAACGAGAACGGTGAAAAAACAACAATAGGTCTAATTAGCAAAAAAACAACTTTGCACGTGCAGCACACTTTTTTTTTGTACATTTCTTTGCCGTTGTTTCGCACGACTACAACGTGAAACTTCCAGAAACTTCTTAGTTGCACGTTTTTTTGGAGAAAATGTCGTACGTGTTCTTGTTCATTTTTAAACATTAAACTCTTATAATAAGTTAATAAATATACGTTATTGTGACGTCATTAAGACGCATTTTGTTACGAAAAACGCGTCATACCACCACATACCCTACGCAAAAAACGACAATTTTGATTTTATGCAATGTTGCCCTTGCTCCTGTGCCAATACATTCATTTGTTCTCGAGTTTAAAATACCCCTTATTTTGACCATACATGGCCATTTGGCGGGAAATTTAAATTTTTGTAATTAACTGTAACTTAACGACTTTTTATCCGATTTTTACCAGAAATCATAGAATTCTATACATAAAACTAATTTAAAATTTATACCATTTCTTTCCTGATTTTTTTTTTCTGATGCCAAATTTGGACATTATTTAGGACGTCACAATAGCAGTTACACGGGATGAAATAAAAACCAATCAACAGGTAACTCATCAACCTACTTCCCTGCCAAGTTTCGTCACATTCGATGCATTCTACTTCTGTCTATTTCCAGCTGTATTTCTCAAAACTCTCGGTTTTGAGAGGTATGGGAGGAAAAGCCCTAGCAACCGACCACCGTGAAACTGCAAAAACCAGGTCCCATGTTCTCAAAACCACTCTTTCTAAACATTACAATAGCTTACAACCTGCTTATATCTGAAAATATTTCGGAATTTTATAAATGAAAGGCCAAGACAACCTTCAAAACACCTCAGTTAATATTCTTGAAGTCATACAGAAGTTAATATTTACATCAACTTTTGGACTAAATGTCCACTTTTCAATGACCGTCAACCGTCAAAAGTTCTAAAATCAGAAACCGTCAGCCGTCAAAAGTAGAATTTATAAAAAATTAACCGTCAACCGTCAAAGCTACCACCCCAATGCAATGACAGCCTCCTTATTGAGTATGTAGTTCGTTTCAAGTCTGTTGACAAAATCCTACGGTGTTTCATTCAACCAAAACCTCTTCGGTATACCTTTAACATGGTATTATTTGTTTTTCAGTACTTAGATGGTGAAAGTTTGGAAATTTTCTTCTGTCATCTTTTGTTCGGGGCCTCTTTTCTGGCCTTTGGGTGTGCCCTGAGACATTTATTTCAAGACCTGTCTATACGTTGGCTTGATCCGGTCTTTAGTGGCTTATCTTTTAAGGTTGTCTGGAGACCTTTCGGTAATCAAAGCGTTAACCTTTCACCCTTAAGAATGCCTCAAGTTAAAATACTAGAAAAATCCAAAATTTCAGTTGGGAAAAAAGATCTGATCTATTGAAAAACACAACAAAAAAGGTACCGCTAAAGAGTCTTCGGCCACAGACTCAACATTAAAATAACATTTCTTGTCGTGATAGTTGATTTTAGTAGTAAATTAGCTGAAATCGTTCAAGTTTATACTCCCTATGAATTAGACTCTCATAATAGTTCCGAAGAAATCTCCGTCGCAAACGTTCCCTCCCTTGCTTCCAAGAACTGGACCCCTCGGTGCTAATAGTAGCCACAAAATGCAGTTGCCCCGCAAGTTTTAAGTTAAAGACTCTCACTTCTTGTTTAATTTCATCACATTGGACATGAATGAACAATTACTTGGGTAATGTGGGATAAAGATTTGAGCTACGATAATCATGATCGATCGATTAGTAAATGTGATCAGCTCTTGCCTGAGGCTGATAACAATTTTCAGATCATGATAATTCTGGAAATTACACAGTGAACCGATCTCATAATTGGTTTATCCTTAATGCTGTGAAATAATTTGCATTTTTCTCTAGTAAAACACAATTTTAATATTTTCAGGTTATACCTCGTTGAACTACAGAACCAAGGCTTACAGTTGCGACCGAAAGTTATGAAAGTATCATTTATAGGAAATACTAATAACTTCTTTAGACTTAGCCCACGTTTGAGTTTAGAATACCTCAAGACTTTGCCCTTTGCAGAAAAAAAGAAAACTGGACAAGCTGACCAGCTTGTGTCAGTGAGTGGTACCGTTCAGTATGAGAAATTCGGCTCTGTTTCAAATGACCGACTGATCTGACACGATCATCTACTGCCTGTGCGTTTGATACTTTTATGCGTTGAGTCAAGAGAGGATAATCTCTTGGTTGTGTGAATCTAAGCACTTCAATATAGGTTTTCTATAGCAAGGAGTTGTGAGTTCATCTTTATTGTATCTTTTTAGAACCGCCGCGGGAAGACTGACATACACTTTTTATTGAAATCGTTTTGCAGCCTGAAATAATTTCCCATAAAAATCCTTATGTAGACAGGTAGATACATGCAGACAAATGATAAATATAACTATATCATCATCCTGTACTGTTTCGTTTACACTTGTTCGGCATTCCGGTTCAAAGGTGGGATAGCGGTAAACAGTAAAGCAGTTACCGATCTTTAGGTCATCTGCTAATACGACGCATACATCCTTGCAGCCAAACCTCTCTGTCTTGTCCCCGCCATGTCCATGGTTACGCTCAGTTCAGTCTACAAAATGTTAGTAAATTCCTTATACCTAAAATTATTCATTTTCAATAGGGTCGGCCAGTTAAAATCATACCAATGTTATATTGCTTTTAATCAATGCAGACACAAAAAGCAGTCCAGTAAATCTGAAAGTCACTGGTGAAATACGTAGTTACAGCCGTTTACACGAGATACGCGCCATCCCTCGCGTGTCTTTGATCCTCCACGTTAAGCACGTTGCACAGGGAAAATAAAACGTAACAATTCAAGAAATAACTTGTGAGGATCTAATCTTAAAACACTTGGAATTCATGACTGAGTTGGGAATTAATCGTATGGTAATAGTTAGAAGTTAATCCTTTCCGGTCTTTTCAAATATTCTGCTATATATTGGCAGCCTAATTCCGCAACTAATAGTTTTAATTTTTAAATAAGGAGACTTCTGTTCAAATGACGTCTCATCGTTACGTTCGTCAGCCACAATCATTATCCTTGCGACAAAAAAAGCTCCTTGCCGGAAAAGCTTTGTTTACAAACTAAAGAAGAAAGGATATTTTTAACTGATCAGCAAACTCGAGCTTTCAGACGTCGAAGTGACAAGGTTCGCTCGCGGGCACAAATTACGTTGTGCGGTTCGCAAGGCCTTAGCGTAACATTTGTGACCTAAAAGCCAAAAGCTGATAAAGTTGTTCAGGGATTTCACAAAAAGGAACATCAACTTACGTTAAATTTTGTAAACAACGCGAGTTCTCCTCTCGATAATGGTGAGTTTTGCGTAATTAGCTAACGAATTGAATTGTTTGCTTTGCTTGTAAACAGTGTAAAGTAATGATTTTCTTTGACCAGTGAGTCACATACAATTAATTACAACTACTACTATCAAATGGAAACAAAGTAACAAGGTGTTTAGCCGCGAGACGTGATGTCTGTGATGGAAGCCTGGCGCGCTAATTGCCGCTTTGGTTTAGAGTATCGCTACTCGTGTAAATGGAATGGAGTGGGCTTGAAATATGGAGAAACTGTGTTCGAACAATGGTTGAAACTTGAGTTAATTAACTGTAACAGGGTGAAAACTGCCCTCGTTTATCTCTAACGAAACAAACGCACCACATTTATTTGTGGAATTTTGGCGAGGGGCAGACTTGATTATTGACGGCATGCCGTTTTCCTGTCAGTATTAAATCCCTTTAATTGATGATTAATTGTGCGTTTTTTCTTCTTATCTCGTGCAGATCGCTTCAGAAGTTTATCTCGTAGCTTCACGATGATTCATTCCGATCAGATGAACGCTGCCCGTACGTGCTGAGATTTTAGAATTCCTCCGAATGAATGAAAACTAATATAATGAAGTTGGTTATCGCGGCGCCAAGACTTCGGATATTTCCACAGATGTAAGCGAAACTGATTTATTGTCGCTTCCGATCGGCGAATTGTTCTTTGGGTGTTCTTAATTGCTGCGTTTACGAGAGAAAATGGCTTGTTCCTGGCCTCGATTTAAGACCGTTTTGTTACTGTCTTTACTGACAATTCCGAAGCTATCAAAACCTTGTATTCGAATTCTACCCGAAGAGGGTGGTTGGAAGCAAATGAGCGTAGGGGAGCGTGCTAAACTTGTGAAAGTCGTTTTCATCGGAAAAGTGATCAATCTTTACACGGTAGATAAACTCTCGGGAACTTATGCCGCGGATTTTGAAATATGGAGGATTTTAAAAGGGAGAAAGATCGTGGACGAAGTCTTCGAAATGCATCGCTCTTCACTTGTCAAAGTGTATGGGTTTGGAGAGAAGAGACTGTGTTATTCGCCTGTCAAGCCGGGAGATGTTCATATGGTGTTCATGGTCTACGAACCGGCTTCTCGTTCCTTGGTGGCGCGATACGACGATATATTCGGGGCGACAGCTGCTCCTACAGCCGCCAACGAGAACGAAGTGCTGCAGGCATTAGGTATGTTGACGCAGATTTCATTTATCCCCTTTTCATACGACCCAGCTCATTAGTTATCCCATGAAAGAGTGCTTATCTTCGGGTAGCGCTCCCGCGGTCGTTGCTACAAAAATAACTTCACACTTTCAGACGTCATTTCTCACAACGTCAAAAACAATCCAATTTATGCCTTGCTAAGCGCGTGGAATAACATTCATCTTGTAAAGTTGCCGTAAGCGAGGTTTGAACTACATGGGGATTTTCTCCTTTTGAATCATGTGGAATCTGCTCAGTGATTACACTTTTGTTTAGACAAAAGAATGTTTCCTGAAGTCGACACACGACAACAAAATCGGAAATTTTATGTCTTCTCGTATACCTTCCTAGCCCACAGGAAGAACTTAAATTTATCAATGACTCTGAAATGACAAAGAAACCAAAATGTAAAGTTTTGAAATAACTATATTTTCGTAGATCACAAAATCCGCAAAGCTGAGAAATTTTGACACTTCATAAATAACCTTTCTCGTGATGTCAAAACCATCGAAACACAACTGGAAAACAAGCTAAATTTCCCCATCTGCCTTTTCCATGATTTGAGTTCAATTTTGCCGAAACAGACATTTTTTCAAGATTTAAACCTGCCTGCAGTTAAAGGGGTCAAAACTCGAAGGTTAATATGTGAAAGAAATCTCGACAAGCTAGCTCTTGGTTTCAGTAATCATAACAGTTATCATGGCCTTATTTTTCACGCCTGTTTGTGATGTAGTAGCCCAAAAGTACAAAAAGCGACAACAAAGCTACCTCCCGTGCGTTATTTATTTGCCCTCCCGCGCGAGTGTGTCTGTCAACAAACAGACAATCCACTTTATTTTCAGTTTTTTGGAGTTCTTATCGTAGCACGCTTTGGTAATTTGGTAATTATGAATGAAAAGCTTTTTATTACCGACTGACAGAGCTATTTTGTTTCAGCAATTTCCGGAATTGTTTCTCTTGTAAAGTTTGTTTTCAGAGGAATGAGAGAGATAGAGAGCGTGCGATCGATAGTAAGTAATCCTTTACAACCCACTTGACACCACGATTGGCCCGGGGCAATTCCGCGTGTTTCTTGCCGAAGAACGAGCGATTACCAGACTAAATCAACTTAATCTGCACAAGACTATCTCAAATGAAACAAATAAAACGTAAATAAAGTTACTGTTAATGCCAAGATATTAACAGTTCTGGATGCATTATTCAGCAGTTCCCTGGGAAATCGTTTTTCCTCGCTAGCAATTGACCGGTTCACTTGTCGTGGAACTGGACCAGCGGCTCTCTTCCTCGTGATAAACCGTTAATTTTTGCTTTCCTCTCTTTCTCTCTCGCTCTTTTTTTTTGGCATCTTGTCACATTATAAGCGTTACACTAAACTCTCTTTTCTTGCGAATCTTTTCAGTCACTTCCCACAAACTCAGCCACACAAAAACTTAATCTACCTAACGCACTAGTGTGCTAACGATCTACCAGATGTACACGGAATGCTACTCTTTAGTGCTCTTATTTGGCTCGTGTGCCTTTCGCTGTAATCCATCTTTATCTAAATGGTGCCATTCTGTCTCTCCTTCTTAACAACATCATGGATTAATTCAAATTTTGTATCTGTGGTAATCCTGAGGTGATGAACAAATACTTGTATCGATATCGCCACCGTGGCGACAGGCTTCCCGCCATCCCGGTCGCCATATTGAATACTTGCGATCAAAGTGAGATGCTGTGCGCCAAGAAGTGAGGGAGGTTTGATAGGAAAAACGTTTTTGCAAAAATTGAAACGAATGCTTTCTTTTTTGCCTTTTGGACTTTGAGAGCAAAATGTATTAAACGGATGAAAATTGTTCCTAGTTAATTCTTATACAATGCAAGTAGTTTATTAACGTCTGTGAGAGTAAGTGTATTTTAAATTTAACCGCCACCTGTCTCGTTGTTTGTTTTTAAACTTATTTATCTATATTCTTTGTGGGAGAATGTTTTCAGTTTATGTCGCACAGATAAAATAGAAAATATTCAGAGCATAGACATAGCAAAAAAAAAAGAGAAAAGAAAACCTCAGAAAATCACAATGGAACTCGTAACAATTATGATTATGAAAAGTTGAACCAAGAGTTTAGATAAGCAAGTAATGTTCACAGAAATTTCCTATTTAAATAAGTAGAAAATCGAAGATACGCCATTGTTTGTACATTCGGTCTATCAATGCAAAGAAAAGTGTTATTTTGGGAAACACCAGGATCCTGGAAACAGAATAAAGAGATGGATCCATAATTTTAGTGGCATCTCCTAGCGAGTAGCTTTTCAGATTATTGGACAAAAATGAGACGAATTATAAACCTAGTTTATCAAAATTATTGTTATAGTTAACCTTGTATTCTCTTCTTGATGATGGAATTGGTGTAGTAAAAAAACTTCACGGCTTGTACAAATTCCTACTATTAACCCTTTAAGCCCTAAGACTGATCAGCATAAAATTTCTCCTCTTAATATCAATGCTTTGTTAAACAGAGTGGTCATGAGAATTACGGACCTGATCACACAAGATGAATTTGCTGGATATTTTATCAACTTCTCCCCACTACTTCTATAGGAAATGAATAGGGGCAACAAATGAGAATTCAAATCTTGATCTTAGGGTTTAAAGGGTTAAGGTCTCTCGGGAGCTGGAAGAAAACGATACTTGGTAATAGTTATCCAAACAGGTTTTATTGCGGTTTCATCTTATTCATACACGAAAATTATCTTGTGTAAAGAAAATTAAGCAAGCTAAGATAAGCATCATCTCAGGGTTCCACAGTAAAACAAATCTAAAGTAGAAACCTTCTGATATCGCGCAAGATTTATCAAATATTCCGATAAGCTCGCAAAAACAATTAAGTATTTTTCTTTTTGATGTGAATTTTCTGACGTTCTTTTAGAATAGAACAGGCGATGAAATTTCCAGCAATTTCTATGCCAGTTTTATCAGTCTTCGGAGAGTTTGAAACAATGTACTAATTCACTATTACTTCTCGTGATAACGGTAAAAGAATTTCAATCAGTCAGGATGTAGAGGACACAGTGCGGAAAACCGGGTTCCTTAAAAAAGGTCTTGTTGTGTTTGCTTTTTATATGCGAAAACATTTTTGCATTCCTCTATACCGTGAGAGAGTGCCCAAATTAAAATTTGCTATTAATACATAAGGGATTATCTCGTGTCTTATGAGAGCTTCACGAGGAAGTATTTGTACCATTTGTAGTTAAACCTTTCGAGAACTCTAAAAATTCCTTTGATTCTATTTCCCTTGGAATGTCGTAATAAGGGAGCGCCCATGGATTTTCACCTTTAAAAATGTGTATTCATATAATTAATTATTTGTTTCTTCCAGTTATTATATCTTCACTGATAACGAGTTTGATTACAAACAATTCTGAGAGGTTGCAATGAAAAAACTGTTATATTTTGCCCATTTCCAAAGCTGTAGGTTGCTGAAAAAAGAAAAACTTAAGCTAACTCTAACTAACTTTCACCGCCTTTACGCTTCACATGCCTGTTTTGTGTACAAAAACACTCCTAAACCACGAGCGGTCGTCCTGCTTTCCTCAGAGCGACGCACGGCCAGACTAGTTGAGCAAACACACTCTCAGAAGATCTTAGTAACTTATCGAGCGCGTTTTCATAATCTTGCCCTCAGGCCGAGGCAAAGCAGATCAATAAGGTTTTCAGAATGTTTACATTTTAGTTCTGAAACCGGCCAAGAAGAAAAATGGATACTTCAAAAGGAACTTGAACGAGGTTTAAAATAAATAGTTGAGCAAACAAAGTTTTACAAGAACTTAGTAACTTATCCAGCGTATTTTCATAATAATCCGTTACCCTTGAGGCACAGCAGGGTGAACGAGAACGTTTTCAGAAGTTTCACATTTCAGTTCAAGGCGCCTTCTGGACCTGTTCTGGACCAAAATAGGGCACTCCAAACAGCAGTTGGGCGAAGACTTTTACAAGAAGTTGGTAATTTATCCAGCACATTTTGATAATCTTACCCTTGAGGCAAAGAAGATCTAGAAGGTTTTCAGAAGGTTTACATTTCACTTCTGAAACGGCTAAGAAGAAAAATGGGCACTTCAAAAGAAAAAAGGAGATTGAAAATATAGGCAATTAGGCAAACAAAGTTTTACAAGAACTTATTAACTTATCCGGCGCATTTTCATAACCTTACCTTTGAGGCACAGCAGATCGAGAACGTTTTCAGAAGTTTCACATTTCAGTTGGGAGACGGCCAGGACCAAAATAGGGCACTCCAAAAAAAGAAAAAGGTAATTTAAAACAGCGGTTGATCGAACAGACTTTTACAAGAGCCTGGTAATTTATCCAGAGCATTTTCATAATCTTACCCTTGAGGCAAAGGAGATCTAGAAGGTTTTCAGAGGGTTTACATTTCAGTTCTGAAACGGCCAAAAAGAAAAATGGGCTCTTCAAACGGCAAAAGAAGATTAAAAATAGGCAATTGAACAAACAAAGTTTTACAAGAACTTATCAACTTATCTAGCGCATTTTTAGAACCTCACCCTTAAGGCATAGCAGATCGAGAACGTTTTCGGAAGTTTTACATTTCAGTTGGGGGACGGCCAGGACCAAAATAGGGCACTCCAAAAGGAAAAAAAAAAGCGATTTAAAACAGCAGATGGGTAAACAGACTTTTAAAAGAACTTGGTATTGGTAATTCATCCAGCGCATTTTCAAAATCTTACCCTTGATAAAAAGATATAGAAGGTTTTCAGGTGGTTTACATTTTAGCTCTGAGCACGGTCAAAAACCAAAAAGGAGCAGTTTATCAAGGCAAAAACGGTTCAAGAAAACGGGCAGCAATTGGGGCAAACAGACATTTATACCAGAGCTTGTTAGCCATTTCCATATCAAAGATTTGTAGATCATTGAAGCTGTGACGAAAATGGTTTCACAGCAGAGTGATGTATCTTCGGTCTTTTGCCTACGCTTTTCAGGACATTCAAATTGGATACTTAACTAAAGTCGAAACGCGTTTGAGATATGTATATATCCATGGCGTTGATATATGAAAAAGTTTTGCTTTGACGGTTACATTCGAAAGTTTTCCAATTGATGTTCTCATGGCGTGCATCAACAAGGGTGAGTTTTTGTTCTTTTACTATGTGGCACACAATTGATGAATAGGGAAACAAAATTAATGATTTTTCTTGTAATATATCAATCATTAGACGCAGTGTTTAATCACCAGATGAAACACTGAGAAGGGAGTTGAAAATACGACGCGTAGCGGAGTATTTTTGATGGACTTCGAGGTGTTTCATCTGTTGATGAAACACTGAGTCGAATGCTTGATATTACTTTTTTAAAAATATGATTTTAGAAGGAGAAATTAAGGATGCAAAAATGAGCAGTTTTTCATCTGATTTCCAAACACTCATTAATCATTAATGTCCTTGTATTTTCTTTATGAATTATTATTAATGAGTTTGATAAGTTTGGACTTTCAGTGCAGATGCTTTATTGGTTCTTGACCTCTTATGCACCGCCCCCTAATTTGTGTATCTGTAAATCGGTTCTACTCCGCTTTTTGCCAGTTTTTCGGACACTAAGTTAAACCTTTCACGCGTAAAACGTGAACATTCATAACACCTCACCAAACTCTTTCCAGCTTCCCACATGCTTGGGTTACGAGAGAGCGCCCAATACGGCACTGACCCAGGTCCGTCAAGTTTACTCAGCATTTTTCGAATCAGTGAGATGATTTATTGGATGCGTTCGAAGCTTGTTTGTTTTCCATGAGCAAGCTTGTTACTTTCGATTGTGTGGGCGCTCACTAAAATTATTCTTCCTTCAGGAGCTTGTGAAAGTGTTACTTTTTTTTCTTTCAATGCTCTCGGGAACAAAGAGAGTGCAAATGCAGCGGAGTTCTTCTTCTGTTTCGCCAAGAAAGAGCTTGAAAAACATTGAATACCTCAAAAACACAAATCTTAACGATACTTATCACGTAAAAAAGTACTTGAAAAGTGTGCATGATCCATCAATGCCTCAGTTATGCCTCAAAGTTGCGTCACATATTACGTTGGTAGATTTCGCCGACTTATTTTATTCAGGCACAGTAAGGATGTTGAAACACGTACTTTGCCTAGTATCCTGGGAAAAGGGATCCTTTCCTTTGGTCGTGAATCATGAAAGAGCCTTAAAAAACACCACTACAAGAACGTGCTTATCTCGCTGATTATCAGCTTTGTCATCGGTTTTTCGGGGTATTTCTGACCGCACTTATGGTAAGACAAACTGAACCTCTTCATATTCAGTGGGAGTGGCATCTACCACACGTTTGGCACTAAATTTTTGTGGAAGTTTTATCTTGCGGCTGGGAGATTATCTGTTTTGGGGGCAACTAAATTTTGCGGTTGGTAGCCATGACTCATGGCTTCTACGACTTTTTTGTGGTTACTCAGTTTAATGACTCAAGAGGTCGAAAAAATATGTTTCCTGGCAATTATTGTAGCGATGGTATTGTGTCGTTGTTTGCAATCAGTCGGATTCTCGCCAGCTCCATTTCTGTCCAACGATCAAAAAAATTAATCTTAACCGTGAAAGTTTTTGGCGGTGCTATTTTTCGTTTTTTCGCGGAATATTTTGGTCTGAATCGTGGAAGGAAAACTCAATATAAATTAGAACTTGCAAAAATTAATTGTAGGTTTATATCACTTAGCCTTTTCATTCTCTAGACATGCTTACTAAAATCAGTTGCATGTCTGAAGGATCAGTTTACGAAAGTAAGGTTAAAATATTCAGAGGAAAGTCCTTGAATACTACTTTCGTTGACAATTTTTGTGAAATTATGTTCTCCGAGATACAACGTAGGTGGTTCTGTTTTAAGAGCCAGTTGGTGAAATGCCAAACATCAACTTTTCAAACGCATAATGGACGCCGGTCGCTTTAGAGTTATGAACTCCTAAATGATATGCCAAAAAGGTTCTTTAGAGCTTGTCATAAATAATTAACGTCTAATTTTTCCTGATAAAATATCAATGCAGGCACACTAAATAGACAGTCGATGAAAGCAAGAAAACGGCTTCCTTTTTCTTGGCTTCAATTAAACACTTGTATCATGAGAAATGCAATATGGTAGGATGATAAGTTACCATGGTTCGGAGGCGTGCTAAATGATAAGGAAAACGAAAAGAAGGCGTTTTTTGTTTGTCCTGTCGGTACTTTTTGAGCATTTATGTCAGTTGACAGATTCGTTGAAGGCGGTAACTTCAGACTGTCAGGACATGCGTGGTGTGTGTGGCAAAAATGGTAGGAATGAAGACTGCGCGTGACAAAGTACTCTTAAAACAATTTTATGTGCGGAGAAAAAGACGAGTTAAAAGATATCATTATTCTTAAAACCTGGTTAGGATAGCTATTCATAAGGTAATAATAACGAGAAGATGCAGTCGTTTGTAATCATTTGTGGTGGTCTCGGTTTAAGGAGGTTAAATACTACCTTTTAACCGACACTGCAACAATTTTAAGTCTCGCAAAAATATGTACTTATCGCGTTCGTGGTTTCCTGAAGTACCCACCAGGTTTTTACGATATCAATCGCGTGTGTCCGGGCAGTGTATCATGCTCCAATAACTGTATGAAATACTTCAGTGTAGTCACGTTTTCTGAGCGTATATCAGTGTTCGATACTTCGTGAACTAAAATCAATCAGATGTTATGTTCTGAAATAATAGAGTGAAGCCACCTGCAATTTTGATCATAGTTTCTCTCGCATTTTTCTTGTATTTCTTTAAAGTGCATTTTACGTGGATGGGCCGAATTTTTACTAGTCCTGATGCAAAATAGCCTGGGGGAGGGGAAACTCCCATATGAAAGGGGCGGGGATGCTCGTCGTCTTGCTTAGGGGTGTTAATTTAGGATTTTGGTCTCACTTAGGGTTCTCTGTTCAAAACGTCATTATATTTAGCCGTAAAGGTCTCTTTTAGGGTTGTGTATTTTCAATTTGTTTCATTTACTCGATTCATTTAATCAGAGTTTAAAATGATCTCTTTTAGGGGTCAAAAAAGGTTGGGCCATGCCCAAATTGGTTTCCTTTAGGGGTTTAATTCAAAATTCCTTACGAGCATCCCCACCCCTTTCATATGGGAGTCTCCCCCGGGCAAAATAGTGGGTCATGGATGGTGTAATTGCCTGTCTGGATGAAACTAGCTTTTCACAAGTAGAACAACGCCAATTCGAATAACCGAATCCATAAACTATTGCTTTTCGAAGCAAACAAAAATCTGTCCTTTTCCTGTCTGAATGCTACGTCGTTACGCTCCACAACAACTAAAATCATGATCTGACACAAACGAAATATTCAACAAGAGAGTCTAAGCTAATTTCCTAGCGTGCAGTCTGGTAGGGCACGAAATACCGCTTGTTCATTGATCCTTTTGTCCACTAGCAAACTCTTAATAATGCTAAAAATATACAGGGTTACGTTCAAGACAAGCTGGTTTCATATTCTCTATCAAGCCTGCATTGAATTTTTATTGTCTGTCAGTAGCAAAGGCCTATTGCCTGTCAGAGGCCATATGACTCCAGTCTATTAGTAAGCTCTTTACTGCTGTAATTGTTGTCGATACAAATCTAATCTGCATACTTAAAGGGTCGGTAGACCTTTATTGACACTGAGTGCTTTTTTATCTTTCTGCGGAATCTGATCAGCGCTAATCAGAGCCAGTAAAAGATTTTATCAGTCATTTCCGAATGCCTTACAGACCGATGCTAACGAACACTTCCATTATTTTTTTCTCGCTCGGATCTCTGTTCTTTCTTGGCACTTCAAGCAACTTCTCGAAGTCATTGATTTCTCGTCAGTTATTATGAATCGTTTTAAGGAGATTAATGTAGTTTATACGACCCCTCAGTACTCGTCTAGAAAAATAATGAAAAACCAGAATCTGCAACTGATGAATTCCTAGCAGTCCATTAAGCGACTGATTACGTTTTTAAGTAAAACTAGAACTACTTTCTACAGTGCCGCTTTGTTAAGCGGCTTGAACCGTTTTTGTAGACACCACTCTGAACTTTGTGCCCAATAAATTTAAATTAAGCTGCTTTTTTGTAGGGAGCATTTCATTCATGTAGCGATGTTTCTTTAAGCAGTTATGAGACAGATTTATTGAGCTTTTTTTTTTTAATTTTCTGGTCCTTTTCGTTTGTAAGTCATTTTGTGTGGCATAAGAAGGTCAAGTACAGCTGACGAAACCTTATTCTTTGCCATAGCGTGTACACAGATCATGTTGATTTACGCCCATTTTGATTTTGATTGTGAAATCTGTAAACCTGGAAGTTTCTGACTGTTTGCGGACAGTTTTTCAACAGTTTCAAAAGGACGTTTATCGAATGTTTTACAATCAGCCTTTGTTGTGTTGCGAGGCGATGGCGAGAAAGAGAAAAACGTTTGGATCTAGTGTCAAAGAGCGTCTAAGCCACTAAGCCAGAGGCCAGTCTCCCAAAAAATGCAAGATTTCCCAGCGCTGTGTCAATGATTTTACAAACAAACTAAGTGCGTTTTAGCAAAGATTTAAAGATAAAAAATCGTCAATGTGTATTTATTTTCTTGTCCTGTTTGTTTGCGTTTCATGCTCCCTTATTAGTTTACAGTGATAACGTGTTTTTGTAAACAGATATAAAGCGCTTTAAATTTATCACAAAACAAGTTACGGAAGCACATTTAATTAAAGCATACATTCTGTCGTGTGACCTGTTGACACAAACTACTGCTTTTTGTGCAAAAGCACTTGTCCTATCGGGGGTAAGGTTACTCCCTTATTTGGCCTAAACTGTTATATGCCGCTTTAAAGGGTATGGTTTTGAGGGTCTTGACTCTAAAACAGGGTCCAGTTTAATACAAATTGATTATTTAGTGACTAGTACATTAAGGTGTCTTTTTGCTGGAAGGCTTTAACCCTTTAAGCCCCAATACTGACCAACATCAATTTTCTCCTAACGATATCCATAGATTGTCTATGAGAATTAATAAAATGATCACAAAGAGAAAAATCTTTGATCTCTCATCAAATTCTCTCAACTGATTTTATAAGGAAATGTATAAAGATCAGTCTGGAGAATTTGTATGCGGATATTGGGGCTTAAAGGGTTAAAAGAGTGTGAAGGTTGGCGATGAGCGGCACCATCATCCATGATGTTAATTTGGAAAATTACTGAATTTGATCTGTGTGTGCAAAACTAAGCTAGCCAGGGTTATGAAATAAGGTTTCATGTCTTTAACAGGGTTAAGAAATGAACGATTTCTGTCTTAAACAAGGTTTTTTTTGGGTCCCCCTAATTTTTACTAGAATTTTTCAAACTTTACCAGGTCCCCCCGTTTGGTTCGAACATATCCGTTTGTCTCAATCAAACAAGAAACTGTTATCAGTCATCAGAATCATTTCGGACTAAAGAAGTGTCGAAAGTTCGTTTGTATCGAACATGTCAGTTTGAAAGAATCAGACAAGAAAGCAGTTATCGGAGTCATCCCAATCATTCTCGGACTAAAGATTTCATCGAAAACCCGCCTGTATACATCACAGCGGTCTCACAATATTTATGATGAGTGGGCCTTTTATCTGAATTGTCACACGCTAGGATGTTCTCCACACATTCAAAAGTTAGAATCACCTTGTACTGCACAATAAGCAGCACCACAGGAAAGTACTGCTCAGTAGCAGCTTTCATTTGAATGGTCACATTTAAGGATTTCATTCACAGACTCAAAAGTTAGAACCACCTTGTACAGCACAATAAGCAGCACCACAGGAAAGTACTGCTCACTGAGCTTTCATTTTGTAGGTAACAACGTAAGATTTCATCCATGAGCTCAAAAGTTCATGAAAACCACCTTGAAAAACACCTTGGAACGTCGTTCCTCCGCGCGAAACGTCACCAGCGGCGAAGAGCGAGGATAAACGGACGTTTTCGCAGGCTTAAGTACCAAGACCTCTCTGGGTGAAAACAGTGAACTAAAAATGAAAGGGGCTGTTGTTCAAAGAGTACCATATATCGCTCAGTGATTGCTTTTCGCCACAGTGTTTTTCATCTTAGGAACCTGACTTGCGCCGGCAAGACGGTTAATACGCAGTTAGCAGACCGTCACGTGATTGTTGACCCAGTGCCAGTTTTCCTCCGTCAGTTGGCGGGATTCCGCTGTACTGCTGCCAACAACTTAGCGATTACAAGTACGATGAGTGGGCGGCTACGGCGACACAGATATTACTATTACTGCCAAGATTAGTTGAAAAATTACCTTATTAATTGAAAAAACATAAAAGGAAAAAGAAAAAAACGGAAGCGGGGAAATGAACTGCTAAACAGTTCCGTTTGTCGTGTCACTTTAAATTAGAAACGGCTTGTACAGCATAATAACTAGCTCCACGGGAATGTACTGCAGCTTATAGTAGCTTTCCGGCAGCTTAAGATTTTATCCTCAGACTAAATTACAGTAATACTGAGTACAACGAAAAGAAAACGTCATGTGACTTCTAGGTTTTAGGCAAACACAAAAGTTGAGGTCTTTTCCGTTTGACCAAACGAAAACAGTAAGATATTTGTACATGGATTGAAGATCGATTTTTTCTGAAAGAAATTATACAAACGGGAGCACGGTCATCAAATCTCTTTACTCTCATCCTCGCGTGCCAGCTCGGTGTCTTATGAAGATAATTGTAATTCAATTTATCTCTCTCATGTGGTAACACGCAAACAAAACGACATTTTAAGAGCCCGCTTTTTTAAAGCTTAAGGGTTTTAGTTAACCTCTTTTCGGTTCTGGTTTAGTTCATATCATTTTTCTCCTGTTCAATAAAATTCTAGACTGCTGATTCCGTGAAAACTGACTGCAATGAAGAAAAGGAGCACAGCTTTAAGCAGTGTGTGCTAAGGGGGCAGAGTTAACGAGATAAGGGCAGATAAATTGTCCAGTTCAATTAAGAGATTTTTTGAAAAAACGAAAAACGAGTTCGTGAGAAGTATGATCACAAAATTTCATGTAATACAGCTGTATCAGTTATACGATTTTTACTGTCCTGCACGGTCACGTCCAGCAACGTCCTCATCGGTATCTAGCTGCAAAAGATGTCTTCAATTCAGTTCCCGTTGATGGACAGACTATTTCTTCGGTTAACTAAGAGAATTGGAACTCAAGTTATGGTTGTGGTTGCGATTTGTCCGTCGGCGGTTGCGGTACAAACTTAAGCAGGATTAGAACGCAATTAAAATATTTTTGAAGCTCATACGTCCTGTTTTGAATCTTACATGGCGTTGGTTTGACGCAGTTTGGCTTAAAACCTCCTTCTTTTAAGACTCAAAGATTAATTTAATGCTCGTAATATCCGGAACGCTTCAGTGGCGGAAATTTTAACCTTTTTCTCATTTAATCGCTCAGCATTCCAAAACGTTTGTTTTTGTCAATTACAGTGCTGCCTTTTACACGCATTTTTAAAAGATAAACTAGCCAAGAAAAATAGGAAGGCCTACTAAAAAACCAAAGGTCCTTAAGTTTGAAGCACAACCGTGAAGCCCTAACAGCGATTAATATCTCATTTCTTCCCAATACACCTATGATTAATCATGCAATAATAAAAGTTATGAGAATAGAGGAAATGATCACCAAAGAGAAAAAAGACCCGTGTTATTTACAAATTCTTCTTTGGAAAAGTGTTCCACGATGTTCATGTTGATAAATTTAGGTTCTGAAATTATTCAAGTCAGAATTGAAGGCAATTTCAGTTGAAGGCAGTTTTGTTTTTCGTGGCGTGCATCTTCCAGAAATATGGCGATTACGTTAGAAAAAGTCTTGTCGTTTATGATTTACAATTAAGTAAGTCACCATTCGGAATATTACAATGACGAGAGTTTTCAGCTGTTTCTTATTAAGTTCCAGCGCTATTTCGCACTTTTTTCTAGCCTTTTGGGAAAAATACCTTGTGATAAGGTTTGATCCAAAAACTGACTGCTTGGGACAGTTATAGAACACTTACAGTGAAAGCCTTAAAGGTTACTATTACGTAATAAGTAGACCTAACAGGGCATTTTGTGGTTCGTATTTCACCGGGCCCTTGTTGTTCAAAAGCGGGAGGTAGATAGGGCTAGCGCAATTGGTTTTCCTAATACTTATCCACTGGATAGAGATTTATCCGGCAGAAAGCGCTATTCACATTTTGAACAACTGGGGCCGGTCTGACTTTCAGTTCAAGTAAAGACGCAAATGGTTAGGGGAAATCAGTACTGCGTGTCATTGCGGTCTGATGTCTTCCCCTTTTATCCCCAGCGCAGATTAACTGCTGTTAGTTTAGCGATGTTTTCTTTAAGTACCTTCTCACTGTACTAATGATTCCCGCACTAAAGTACGCTCGAGTTCCCCTCGCGCGCCCTCTTCGCCTCTTCCTCGCTCCCTAAGGGTTTCAACAGCCTGTTCACACCTTATGCACTTGTCAACAACGCGCCTCAATACGCCTCTTCAACTGCCATGCGTTTTCTTTTCCTTTTTAACCTCAGGTGAAACTGGAATCGTATTTCGAACATGGTGTCTCAGACGAAATCTACGGAGATCACCACGAGAAACGATTTCTCCACGCGGTCAAATCTTTGTTTGATAGTACTTTGTTTTTATAACTAAACCGTAGCCTCCAAAACGAGTGTATTGTATTATTGTATTGCAATTAACATTATTGAAAAAAAAAATTCTTTACTGGCGCAATTTACCTTCTTCTTGCAACTGCATGTCTTATCCTTAAAGGAACACCTTCCCGTTACCGCGCATGTACCAAACGTTGATTTTCTGACAGGATGCTGTGAATTCAAAAGACACGAGTAGTGTTACAGAACCTGCAAAAATTCGTTTGCATCGTGCCCGGTTAAAATCGATACAACACTAAACCTTCTCAGAATTACAGATCAATGATATATTGTTCGATTTGTTTGCGGAAATCTGGTGTTTTTTGCGTTGCTTTCATTGTCGTTGGCCGGAGGTCCTTGAGAACAGACAGAAGGAAAGCAATCCGATGCTGGTTAAAGGCATATTTCTCCTATCAGTCGTATCCATAAAAGCTAGATAATCGTGAAAGGAATAAGCATGAATGGAACAACAGCAGCACAAAAGACTATATATAAAGCAAGAAAACCCATGAGACATGGATGCCACTGTTGAGGTCTTGAGGACTCTGTCAAGCACCATGTTTTACAATGACGTGCTAGTAAACTTAACCCCCTGTAAAAGTACAGCCTCTAGTATGTGTGCGTACGCATAATTTGGACATTGCTCCCGGGTAATTCTGTTCAATAGGATGTAATATCCAGATTCTTTTCAAACTTAGGCCAATTGATATTCATAAAATGGGGTCACCGCGCTTGTTTTCGTCCCATATCCCATTTTTACCGACAGAGAAAACTGACATATCGTTTAACTTCAGGTTGGAAGCCTTGGTCGAGTTGGAGTAAATGCAGCAAAAATTGCGATGGTGGGAAACAAACTCGAACGAGAGCTTGTTCGGTTAAGGAATGCGATGGAAGGACCAGACAAACGAGATCGTGCAACACTTACGAATGCGACGGTAGGTTATTTCTCTCATATACTACGCAGAAGCAAGAGCCTACAAACCTTCCGAACAGGCCTTTCATGTGGCTAAATATAAAACAGGAGAATATCCTGGCCAGCGGTCTTACTCTCTAATTGTATATGGGGTGGTCTTAGGGTGTTTGCAGGGCCTCTGTAATTTTTTCACCTTGCTCACTGAGATCAAGTCATTAAGCTCATGTTACCTTTCGCGTGCATTTTAAAGCCTTTTTGATCCCACCTCTCCCCTCCCTCTGTAGGTGTGTGCTAAGTTTTTACGAAGCTCTCCACTGAGGTTCTCAGTGTGATGTTGTTTGATAGTTGCCGCTCACAGGGTTGTCATGGTTACCTTCCAGGCTTACTTTCTCCTCTCAAAGTTTGTCCAGGCACCTTCTTCATACCTATCTATTAACGATGGGTTTAATTTACGATAAAAGCGCTTGATAGTTTTTTCCCCTATATTCCTTCCATGTGGCCTGGTTCTTGTTATGTACCTATTTTGCGTGGATGGCACACAAACAGAGCGACCCATTAACTCGAAATTCCTTATCTAGCTGGCTGCTACTAAGCCTCTTGATATTTTTATTTTACATCTCGGACAAGTTTTAGGCGAGTAATTTAAAGTGGCTCTATTGGACCTTTTAAGGGTGCAATACCTCTTAAAGTTTGTGCCTTAACTACTTCGCCTCTAACAAAGATACTGGAAAACAGTCACCACAGCTGTATTAGATAAAGGCCAAAACATGCCTTGGTCAGTTTTATATTGACATCGGGAGTTTGATGTCTAAACCAGCAAATTTTACTTGCGGTCGTATTTTCGTTCACGGTAACTTATACCTACTAGCTGCCTCAATATTCTTTAAATTTCAACAGTTCCTCTTAGAACGTTGTCGAGATTTTCAGTGATTAATTTGCACTAAATTTGAATAATCGTTTTAACTGAAAAGGTTCTCTTTCAGGTTTGAAAGACATTGTACGTCACGTTCGAGAAGAACAAACACCACCTGCCTCGAAAAATGAAAACATTCATCTGAAAAATGGACGCATGCCGTCAATAGACGTCTCCAAAGTGTTCCGTTACTACTTTCCAGGGGAGTTCTCCATAATCATGACTTTCCGAGCCACGAAGATTACAAACGTTTATCTCTTGGCGATGTATTCATATCGCAAAATTATGACTTTAGGGGTGCGATTGACCCCCAAAATGTTAAGTTTTGAAAGAAACTCTCTTTCCCTTAATCATCGCTGGTCTTTGGACTTTCCTGTTGAAACACGCAAGGGACAGTGGTACAGTTTAGGTATTAGTGTCCAGGAAAAAGAGGTCACGGTCTATTGGAACTGCGAGAAGATTGGAACCAGGAGCTTTCTCCAAAAGCTCTCATTTATTCCGGACTCACTTGGTAAAATTTACCTCGGAAAACCACTGCTGGTGTCCTCTATAGAAAGTTATGAGGTGAGCCCTTATTCACTTACAAATTCTCCAAACTGATCTCCATACATTCCCTGAAAGAATTAGTTGAGAGAATTTGATAAAAGATCAAAGCATTTTCTCTGAGGTGATCATTTTATTAAATCTCATATCCTTTTCTTTTGATAAGGTATTGATATTGTAAGAGAAGAAAATTGATGTTGGTCCCTATTTTTGTGCAGGTCAAGACAGCGCGACAACTGTTTTGAAGTACAATGATCTCGAGTAAAGTGTAATTATGTGTTCATACATAGCATCAAAACAAAGATCTTATTCATGAATGGCGCCCTAATATTCAATCTCATTCGCCTCTTTAGCTTCACAGAATGATGATGATAAAGTGAACTGCGCAATACAGTAAATACAGACTAAGGAGGCCATGGGTTCGAATCCCGTTGAAGCCCCGAAATATCTTTTTCAGATTGAGTTGCAATTGGTTAAATTGTCATTAAAACTGTTTCGACGATATCTTCATTTAAATTTGTATATTTCGCAGTTCATATCATCGTCTTCATTTTATGTTTCATCCGTTCACGCCGGGTAAAGTCATTTAATTATTTATTTTGACTTCCCGATGCTACACAAGGTGCTTTCCGCGGATCAATTTAGGTGTCTAGGAAACTGCCCACCTACCCCTCCCCTAAGTCAACATTAACACTTACTTCTCACTTAGGCCAAAAGGTTGGTTAGGGGAGGTGTAGGAGGGCTGTTTCCCGAAACCTAAATTGATCCCTTTCCGCGCCGATAACTTCATTTGATTAACATATAAACCTGTTTAGCGTACTTTTTATTAAGATATAAACCTTTTGACTAACATTTAAACCTGTTTAAAGTACTTTTTATATTATTTTGGTTTCTTAAATTTCTTGTTTGATTATTTGCTAGATTGATGTTAGTGAGATGTACTTTGTCCCAGACCCCGGTGCGTCTAAACAACAGTGTGATATTCCAGTTTTCAAACCAGTAAGTTAGTTTAACTTAACCGTCACTCTTTTTACCAGTAACCTGAGATAATTTTGCATAAAAATGAGTGTAAATGAATACCGACAACCTTATAACAAACGAATTCCAATCGAGTCAAGCGTGCGCGGGTTTTAGGTTGGTCCAGCGAATGGGCGAATGCGTGTAAGTTTTAATTTGTTACATGCCAGATTTCTATGTTTTGGAATTTTGTGCTAATAATTCGACCTACAGTTGTGGTAAAGAGACTTAATGACGGTTCCAGGTGAAGTTTACGTAAGAGGACATTTTCCGTGATTTGTGGTGGATCTGAAGAGTTTAACGATAGTTATAGATAAAGCGGTATTCAGAGAGGATAAACCTTAAATGGATAAATATCGTTGTGGTATGGACAGCCATGAACACACAGCTTTAAACAAATTCAAAAGGGCTTGTGTGGATTATCTCCCTTATTTGGCCTAAAAGGGGATGCGACGCTGAACAGGGTATGGTTTGAGGGCTCAGAGGCTTAAAAAGGGTAGGAGAACAGGCGCGCGTTCTACATGCCTGCTTATGCGTGGTAACAACATTTTTTCCTTGGAGAAATCTAATTATATCATTTTAAATTCCAAAATATATTTAATTCTCTATACGAAAGGAATGAAGGTCGTAAAAAATGGCCTTGTGTGGTAAATTGGGTCGCGAAATGCATGGATTTCGTGTTAAACAGCGTCAGTGTTTTAGGGCCTCAGCGGACACTTGCACCCAACCGAGCAAACTATAATACACTCTGTTAGGAACTTCTGTAGGATGATTTTGCTGATTGTTGATTTGCAGAACCAACTTCCATTTGACGGCAGCGGAGAAGACGAGGAAGGATCCGCCGGTGGTGGTACGCCAAATATTGTTGACCATCCTCAAAATGAAGGTTTGTTCCGGGAAAATCGTTGATCTCTCTTCGCGGTGACCATGGTGGTTTAGGGATAAATTTGGAGAAAGTGATGCCTGATTCCTAGCAGAGTCGAGTATCGTAAAGGTTTTTATTACGCCCTGATTTCCCACTCCGGTGTTTGAAAACTTATGCATCGAAAGAAAAACATTCAAAGTATACATTACATTTCTTGATCTTTTTACTTATCGTCTCTTTCACTTCTAAGAATGTCCCAAATCATAGAAAATCTGTAAAACAAAGCAGCACGTGGAAGTACTGTTGGGTCTCACTTAAGGATTTAATCCACAGTCTGAAAAGTTAGAACTAAATAGTAAACAATTCAAAGCGTGTGAAAGTACTCAGTCTGCTTAAAAGGTTTCATTTGAATGGTCCGCGCATCACAACTTGAGGTTTTTGTCCTCAGAATTTTTAATTTTAACGTTGAAAAAAGTGAAAACCGTAAAACCTGGTTTCCGTAGATAATTGGCTCTAGATAGGGAAAGATTCAACTATCTGAGAATGGAAAATGAGAAAGGGACTAAAGAAGCACATGGCTTTGAATCAAATGCGTTGCCCATTTTTATGGAAATTAGCTTTACTCGTGTTCGAGTGTTCCTATTGCTGTCCGTACTTATGATTGTCATAGGTTTTGTATTTAAGCCTGTGGTTCGAATAGTCGGGAAACCGTATATCCATGCTGTGACATTAAAAAACTAATTGATTGAATTGAATTGAATTCAATTGAAGATAGATTAAAGCAAACACTCGCAGGCACACGTGCAAGTGTACAATGTAAAAAAGAGAAATTATTTATAAGAATGCAATTCAGTTTTCTTACAAACATTAAACTAAAAAAGTTTAAAAAGGCATGTTTACAAAACAACACTTGAAGCGCTCAGTACGAATGCGTGGTAGTATGTAATCATGGCCACGTTGACGTAGTGATCGATCTGTACGTTTACTTGTTAGAAGATCTTTCAAACAACACTGAGTATCCGTAATTTTTCCCCATAGTTGTTTATCCCTATCTCGAATCACATCACTGAAGGATATGCACTTGTTAATATAAGCATATTTCGATGTTCGCTTACATAATTTATCGATCTTAGAGAGATATTTACCCTCATAAGCGCACGCCCATACTTCAATTGCGCAGGTATTGATTGGTCACTTTCTATTTGCAGTTGAAATGTCGTGGACTGAGTGGTCCAAATGCTCCCGTTCGTGCGGCAAGGGAACTAGAAAGCGAGTTATGATGTGTGACCTGGAATCTAGTTACACAGACGAGAACGGAATGCCCACCGATGAATGCCTTAAGGCTCTGCAGAATGAAGAAGTCAAGGAATGTTTTCTGACAATCTGTCCGGGTATGAACATGCTAGAATGCCTTTAATTCTTAAATCCACAAAGGACAATTTGAAAATACATACCTTTAATTATCTTGAGGTTTCATTTGTATAAACGGCTGAGCAAGGCGGAGCAAAGTGGTGTAGTTTGTGATGGCATTCACCTGCTTCACCTTCCACCTTTTTTGATCCGGGTAATGGGTTGAGTTTGTTCTTAGGGAACTTAACCAGCAACGTTTTTGAGCGATGCACGTCAACCGGAAGTATGCCTTGACATCACCAAATTTGTATTGCTAAGTGTCCTTACTCTTATAGAGACGATTTGCCCAAACGTTTGTTCAAAATCACGGCTCAAGAGTGCATTAAGTCCACTTCCATTTGACGTGGGTCGCTCAAAAACTTCGCTGCTTAAACTCCCTGCTTCGTTTCACTGCTCCTAACCTGCGATCAGGCAGCGGAAGAGATATGAAGAGGACGTGATCGCAGGCTCCTCCCCTCCGAGATGTTTTCCTCGGATACTCTGGCTTTCCCTTTCCAACACTGGTTGATTCCAATCCTCTAGACTGCGAGCAGTCTCTTGTTTTTCTTTGCAAAGTTACTGCACGTGAAACCTAAGCACGCGAGCGGCGAAAAACGAGGGCGTAAGCCCGAGAAGAAAAAATATGGTTTGCAATCGCGCTGGATGAGATAAGAACTAAGCTGATTTTAAGAGAAAAGGCGGACTGCAAGCAGTCTACCAATGCAATCCCGTTAAGAACTCATGAAAACTACAGGATGATTTCTTAAAAGCTCTTACGGGTGTTTTGTGTGTAGACAAATCACATTTACTCTTCCTACTTTCACTTTTTTCACTCTAGCCCAGTGTGATCGACCATGTTTAAATGGAGGATTTTGTGCTAGCCGAAATCATTGTCAATGCCGTTCCGGTTTCCATGGTGACCAATGCGAGAAAGGTTAGGATGATTATTTTATTGAGTTTACGACTGTGTACTATTTACAATAAGATTCCGGAAAATCCGGTTGGAAAGTATTGTTCGGTTCGTTTCGGTGGGAAATTTTCGAGAGTAACGGAACGTCTGGAAAGGTAGTCCTGTTTTCCCGGTCGGAATATTTCAAACGGAAATACGTGTTCCGACTTTGATACCAGTTCCAGACTTTCGCGTCAGTCATTTTTAAAGTGAAAGTGGTAACCTGCGTAGCTGGAAGGATGATCGTGCCCGGGGTACTTTCGTAGCGGCGTAGCAGCCACGAGACGAGAAGCGAGTGGCGACGCCACGTCCGCCGCCAAAAACTACAGCACTCGCCCGCTAATTTCGCCAACTAGGGAGGCCATGAAAGAGGCGTTATTCGAGAGTTTTTGCTATGAACCCATCACTGCCGTGCATACCATTTATGAAGTAAATTGATCTGCCTGGACAGTTCTGATTAATAGTAGAATTCTCTTAAGAGTCAAATGGTTCGGCCAACCGGTTTTTACTTATGGTAAGCTCTCGTAGTTAAAGCGAGCCAACAACAACAGCAACCAGGCGAATTACCGACTGTAAAAGATAGGCATACACAAAATGGTGCTATGGAAGGATGTCGAAATCTACTGATTAGAAAATTGTCTTCGAGAGAAAGCAAACAGAACTAACTAACCGTTTTAGTGAAATGCAATGACATATTTTGTATGAATAAGATGTAATTTTTTTTTGGCAGTTGAATGCAAGATTCTGTGTCGTAACGGTGGAACTTGTGTTGGGCCGTATAAATGTAGCTGCCCACCAGGATATGGAGGAACACAGTGTGAAAAAGGTACACTGCAATCTTTAGTTCTTAAAGATCTAAAGATACATTTTTTCCTTTTACCTTTACCTAAATTATCCGCGTAACTGTGCTGGGTAAATAGGGGCAGATTTCCTCTTACCAGGGAGAAACGCCTAGTCTACCGCGTAGAACGCACATCGCCTTGGACGCCGATTTTTCTAGCGATGGAGATCTCTAAACTAAAGCCGAATGCGAGCGTTGCGAAATGCAGTCGTATTCAGCAAACGAAAAGAATCTCGAGCGAAGGGCCAAACGATGATGATGATGATGATGATGATGATGATGACGATGATGATGATGATGATAGGAACGATGATTCCAGCAGGCGTCAGGATAATAGAGGAGTTATGGTTCAACTTTCACAACATAAAGGATTTCTGTCTTAAAAAGTAGAGATGCCCTCTGCTTAACCCGGTCAGTAAAGCGTTAGACTGAAGGCGGCTGTAGAGCCAATCAGAGAAGTAGACAACGACAACAGCCGTCAGCCCTTATGTCACTCATTTAATTCTCATACTTTTGTAGGGGAAAGTTCAAAAGCACCAAGGGAAATCCACAATTTTGTGGTATTGTGCATGAATGTGGTGGATGGGTTGGGCACCTTGCATGAGATCGTAGTGTCTGATTCACTCCTTTCCCCCACAGGGCAAGTCTGTGCCCTTAGTTCCAACAAAACTTATCAGTTGACCCCTATATCTACCAGGTAAAAGCAAAAGTGGCAATTTTGTGTAGGTTCTTCATGTGCTTGTATGCTTCATTAACCTTGACCAGACTCTCCGTAATTTTATTAACCATATAATGGGCTATATTCATGCGTCCATAAAATACTAACAAACATAACGTAAACAAAGTTGGTCTGAGCTGTTTTATCCAGTCACATAGCCCGTATGATGTTTTTATTTATTGCAGCATTGTGCAGCCCGCCCTGTCAGTTTGGTGGACGATGCGTTCGACCAAACGTGTGTCACTGCTCCCCAGGATTTCTTGCGCCCTACTGTAGACGTAAGTTCCTCGTTAAAATAACTTTTCGCGCTTGCCTATTTTCCCGCAAATATCAATTAAAACCTACTTGTACCACAAAGTACAAGGCGGCCCACTGCGAGTACATTTGGCTAAACGATTTATTCAAACATGTGATTTATTTTTTGCGTTCTTAGCCTCTTGTAACCCAACCTGTCTTAATGGTGGAGTTTGCGTTGGACCGAATAAATGTCGCTGCCCCAAAGGCTACACGGGAAACAACTGCTTGCAAGGTACACTGGGATGGCGTTGTTTTCATTTAAGTGAGGGCAGTGGGAGGCCGCATTGGACATGTCTGACGCTAGTTTCTCTTTATTTTAATAGCGGTCTGCGGACAACCCTGTATGAACGGCGGTGTGTGTTACAAGCCTGACAAATGTACGTGTCGTCACGGCTGGCAAGGGAAGAGGTGTGAGAAAGGTGAGACAACAAAAACAGCTTCATTTTGGCATGGCTACTGCAGGAAGATGGTGGGGTTATACGGTGCATATGCCATAAATGCCTTATTTTATGGGAAATTTGTCTTAGGCAGCTAAACAAGGGCCTCCCTGCAATCCCGCTATCTGATCCCACCAGTTACACAGGCCTACCAAACATAGACATGCAGCATGACAAAATGACTGAAATGCAAGTCACGCGATGATAAAGAAACACATTTCCTAGGTTAAGGAGAGTCGGAAGCGACCCGACCTCTTTCGCACTTAAGTATTTAACGATCCAGAAACCAGCGTTTCCAGAGGAAAGCTGGTTAGTGCGCTGCCTTCTGCGCCCGGGAGGCTCCGTGTTTGATTCCCAGGCGTGGCCTCAGATTTTTGTTTCGACTTCTTTCTTTTTCTTGGAACTTTTGAGTAGCTTGAAATAGCGTAAAACGGGACACTGATAGAGAGAGGAGGGTGAAATGAGAGCACAGTAGGCTTCAACTCGTAACTGTAGTTCAAAAGACAAACCTACCGCGTAGGGGCGGGAAGCTTGCGTGACTCCGGCCCGAGCGAATGCGAAGGAGACAAGCGAGTCACCAATACGAATAAGGATCTTTTCCTTTACTCACCCGAAAATTCATAGAGGGGGTCATTAATCTGTTTCCTTTTGGTGACTATGCTTGACCATAAAAAAACAGTACTTCTGGAAAAATCTTCATTGAGCAACTGGCCGACTGTATTCTTTTACAGCGGTATGCAACCCTAAGTGTCAAAATGGCGGCACGTGTATCAGACGAAATCGATGTTCGTGTACGCGCGGCTATTCCGGCTTTTTCTGTCAAATTGGAGTGGTGAGTATCAAGTGAGTATTTACCTCCTAAACTCAATCCACTCTACCCCACCGAAACACAAAACAACCCCATCCCTCTGTATTCACCAATACAAAGGAATCTTGTCGGCTCGGCTCTCAAGGCTCTTTGTTATTTGATTTGTCTTCGTTTTAATGATGATTGCTACAATTGCTGAAAAAAAAAAAATTAAAAAAATCCTCAGCGATCGAATGGCGTATGATTGGTTACTTGTGGTTTGTGGTAACATGTGGTAACAGTAGCGCTCCTGGTGCCTGGTAAAGATCGCACAACGAAATGTGCACGATACTCAAGTGCGATACTGACCGGTCTGTCCCGGGTTCGACCTGGGTTGCTATCTTCAGGTCAAAAAAGTTTCTTAAAAATGGACGCGACCGTTTACGAAAGGGAAATTTGCCTCCAACGCTCGCCCCTCACCCCTCGGCCCCCGCCCGTGCTGTCGATCTACGATGATCTATGTCGACTGCTCGCAGTCTACTTTACACGCAGAAATAACTGAAATACTTTTATTTCGTTTCAGGTAAACAATCGTAAACAGCAAACACGACATCACTGGTGGAGGGACGACCACTGATAAAGAATTAACGTTCTCCTCAATTTGACAATTTCCCCAACGGTCGTAAAACGTTCGTTGGACTTTTTCCCGACGTCAGGATGGATCTTAGAATAATGCAGATTAAATTATGTTTGAAGGATCAATTTTGGCCAGCAGGCTTTCTGATACATTTAGAATCAGATCAAAGTCGTTATTGAACATTTCAAGGGATCTTTACGAAACGCGGTGGTATATGTAAATTGAGTGAGGCAATACCCTTCAGTGGCGGATCCAGGGGAGAAGCCCGGGGGGCCTCTCTCCCCCCTGTTATTTTTAGACCAAACTGAGGTCCGAAGGGCCGAAAAAAATTTGAGGCCGCCCCCCTCCCTTATCTCAGGGTCTGGATGGTCTGGATGACTGCCCCACCCTTCCCCCCCTCCGCCCATTCTCTGAAGGTATATATCCGCCACTGGCCTTTCACTCGCGTGGAGAAATACTGCGGAACCTCCATATAACGAAAGATTGTTTTTACCCCAGTGAAGTATAATATATGCGAAAGTACCTCAATATAACGAAACCTCGTTATAGCGAACAAATTTTGCCAGTCCCTTGGCAATTCGTTATATCCAGGTTCCACTGTATGAGGACTCCGAGGGCGATTTTAAATTTTTAAAATAATAAAAAAAGCGGTACAGTACTTTTTTCTGTGGTACTGGGTATAATGCGGTACAGGGTGGCTCATTTTGATCCTGTGAATGCCAGCTTCTGAAGTGTACCTATTCAAAGGCAAGCTTCAGCTGAGCCAGTTGTTCGGAGACCGATTAACGCTTAACCTGGGGTTAAATTTAACCCGGGTTTCTTTTTCTTTTGTTCAAAAGAATTTTCTCGGATAATTTTCTATGCTAGTTTTAGAGCTTCCAATCATCAACTTGTAGACAAAAAAAATTAAAACTGAAATGCTTTTTGAGCTTTCAAATCTGAATTCAAATCTCGCACTAACCCTGGGTTATCTTAACCCAGCTTTGAACAACTTCGGCCCTGGGCTGTACTGTGATACTGTTCATTGAGTTACACACGCCAGGGTGGTTTTCCGAGTCTTTCATTCGGAATCTAATGATCTAAATTAACATTTGATATAAAGCCTCGTTATAGAACTTCTGCATGATACCATTTGTTTCTCATTTCCTATCCCCTGCCCCTTAAATAGGTTACTTAGTTTACTCTTGGTAGTAATAAATACTCTCCTTCTCCGCCTCTCGACGCGCTCAGGGCCGAAGTCACACAATGCGAGGGGAAGGGGGACATTGCGTGACTCCGGCCCGAGCAGCTGCGAAGGAGACTAGTACCGAAGTAAATGGGTCAGCTATCAAAATGTGTTTGTTTCTCGAAAGTTGAGAATTAACTTGACAAGTGTATGTATTATTTCTTATAATAACAGATATTAAATAATCTTTTTCAACGTGTTGCAGAGATTTCACTTCGTTTCTTTACCCTACCCGTATCACTTGCAAGAGGGCTTGTGGCCCGGGGGGTACTCCGCTATAATAGTGACGGGGGTGCTCGTCGGAAAATTTCGAGAACACCCCTAAAGGGTACCAGAATCTTGTTTTATGGGCGTGTCCCAAAGTCATTTCCATCCCTAAGAGGTACCAATTCAACAACAACAAATAATATAACTGGCACTGCAAATTTTAAAAGTAATATAGGCTTTTTGAAAGTATTGCCTTAAGTCTTTAGCCTAATAACGCGTAGCGACTCTATTAGCAGACATTTTAGGTTTTAGCACCCTAAGCGGTACCAATCCACAAATTTAAACCCCTAAAAGGTACGACGAGCACCCCTGTCACTTTTATAGGGGAGTACGCACGGGGGGCTTGTGGAACTGTGAGATGTAAGGCCTACAGCAGGGTGTGATTTGAACCAGAGCTCAACGCTCCGTAATTTTCTCAGTCTCAGGCAAGTTAATGCAGGGTTGAAAGGTGGTGGAGCTACCGTCTTCGATTTTTCCGGGAATGCTGAGTTAAATGTTTCGTTGGAAGCGAAGAAAATTTTAATTGACGGAGTTGTACATCACCCCTATCGTTATCACCCTTTAAAGCTTCCTAATTCTTTATGTCGATTTTTTTCTGTTATTTTACCTGGAAAAGGCAATCCATTTTTTTTACTTTAAAGTCAAAAATATATTTATTGGGGAGGCACCTTTTAAAAATATCTATTATTGTATCCCTTGTAGAGGTTTTTTATATATGGGCCCCTGTTGGGGTTGGTTTTGATTGAAAATCAAACTTGTTTACAGCTTCAATTTTACTACTTGCCCTTGTGCGATCCCTGAGTGGCCTACGTATGCAAAACATCACAGTATATTATTGGCGAAAGTTTAAAATGTGCGTGCTGCGTTTTTGTGGCGTTTTGAGTCTCTTGAAACTGCCCCCCACCCCCGCCTCCCAATAATACAGATATAATAACCAAAAACGCAGAAGAAGACAATAAAACATATGGTAAGTTATATTTATTCATCTTTCTTACCTTATATTAACATTTGAGGTTGATCAAAAGCTGCAAACGCTTGTGTTTATGAGGCATTTCTCCCTATTACTTGAATCAAGCCGAGAGCAGGCGTTTCGAATTACAGCAAATGTATGATGACATCACATGTCGCGCGTGACATCACAATGCCTTGAATCCTCCTGTAATCAGCGAATCAACTTGGTTGTTTTCCTGTCCTTGTGCGATCCTCAAATGATCTACGCCCACTCTCGTGACTCACGTGAGCAAATACGTTTCTACCATCTTCTTTCGAGCGAGTGCTTGGTTAATGGGGTTATTTCATGATTATCGTTCCCAACATTGAAAAGGCTTCATTTTCAATCTTTCTGTGACCTACGCCCCGAATCGCGTCAGCTGCCGTGATCACGTTAGGTAACTTTTTCAGATTACGCGCGTGACTCATATACAGTGTGACCTTTACTTGTAGAGCGCGTGGCTAAATCAACTTGGAGATTTGCTTATGCATACGATTGAATCTCTTAACGCACTCTTGTGTCCCTAATTTGTTTGTACTTGTTAATTCAAAGTGAAGATTGGTCTTATCTGGTAAGTGTGTAGGTTCAGTTCTAACGTTATAAAGTCCGGTTCCTCAGTATTCTATGATTAAGCTTCACTGTATTTGTAACTGTAACAGTTTGTCTCGTAGTCCTTCATCCGTGTTAACCGCGACCAGAACTAATTTCCTGTTTGCTTATTTTTTATGCTGTAGTTCTAATTTTTCATTATCTGTTATTATGACACTTTTCTGTCAAATCCCGTAAATGGATGTCGCTGACCCTCAGGATCCTGCAGTGATTTCAATTTCGTTCATTTTTGTTAATTTTACTTATGTTTATTTTGTTTATTTTTTTTATTATCATTATCATTATAACTTCTCTTCTTTCCACAAAATCGTTAATAATCTCTTTAGGCGTAAAAAAAAATCAAGGGACGCTAGGGTAACGCAATTTTAAGCATTTATTTATTTATTGGAAGAAGGCAAAGAGGTAAAAACGGGACTTCATATGTAAGTTACTGCTCAAAGAAATTTAATCACGAAATGATTATAATTAAAACGAAAAAGAATTTTTAAAAAAGTGGAACGAGAAATGTTAGAACTTAAATCTTTGTTTTCTATACTAATTATAAGATCTGTGCCTGTCACGGGCAGTCACAAGTAACTCATGCACGAAACTAACGTCCACTTCATAGAGAGTTCACAAGATTGAAACGAAATCTTCAATCTTTTTCAAAACTTTCCTATTCGCCACTTTGAGATTGCCCGGGAGACCGGCGTCGAAATGGTTGGGGGACGCATTTTCAACTTGGTAGCCTAGGACCGGGCTCCGTATTGAGGGGAAAAGGAAAAATATCGGCTAGCGAAGCTTTCGTTTTGGCATGGCTCCTGGTTTTTGTTTTTATCAATTGTTTTTGTTTGTTTGGTAGTTTCTTGGTGTTTCGAAGGGGTACAAACACCCCAAATACGTAATACAAAAGATTCTGCCAGCGGAACACAAAGTGAACCAACAATGTTTTCCGCAACAACAAGAAACACCCGTTTGTTTTGCTTGTTTTTGCAGGGAGTGTGCATCAAAAAAAGCAATAGGTTTTATTAGCAAAACAACAGCTTTGCACGTGCATCACGTTTTTTTGTACATTTCTTAGACCCGTTTCAAACGTCGTGCTACTGCCTTGCCGAACTCAGTTGATTGAATTAAATTCGACTTTAGCACGGCAGTAGCGCGACGTTTTGAAACCAAGTCGTGCTACTGCCGTGTAGCACGGCAAGCCTTGCCGTGCTACAGTCGAGCCAGCTTAGCACGGCAGTAGCACGACGTTTGAAACAGGCCTTAGCCGTCGTTGCACGACTACAACGTAAAAGTGCCTAATTTCACGTTTTATCGAGGACGGGACAAGACAACAACTTTCCTTTTCT